TTTTTTTTTTTTTTTTTTTTTTTTTTTTTTTTTTTTTTTTTTTTTTTTTTTTTTTTTTTTTTTTTTTTTTTTTTTTTTTTTTTTTTTTTTTTTTTTTTTTTTTTTTTTTTTTTTTTTTTTTTTTTTTTTTTTTTTTTTTTTGCCAATTTTGAATTCCGTGTAGGAACTTACTCGTCGCGTGGTTTTCCATCCGCGTGACAGAAAATGGACCTGATAAAGATATACAAGAAGAATGAAATTTTAAAAGATTATGTAAACATATATTTGGATGATGATAAGTTAAAAAATGTTGAAAGAAGTATCAAATATAAAATTTTACATATAATAGGGAATGGAGTATATGGAGTTGTTTATAAAGCGTGCTGTTTGGAGAACCTTTGTGTGGTTGCTTTGAAGCAGACTTATCAGAAGAATACAAGAATTTTTAAAGAAATAGAAATTATGAAAAAATTAAGACATCCAAATATAGTAAAATTAAAACATGCATTTTACACTACCAGTTCTTATGGAGGGGTTTATGTTCATATGATTATGGAATATGGAAATACTGATTTAGCTACTTCTCTATACTATATTAGTATAAAAAATTCACCTGAACATGTTAATCATTTATATGACACAAGTGATAATCAAGATATATATGTAGAAAATGGAAATCTCAGCCATACATATGGTGAAAACTATGTGCTCCACCATAATAAATTTGAAAATGTAAACTTCGCCACTAACAAAGTTAATGTTATTGAAGAAGAGATGCACAGGTGTCCGAAGACACACAGAGATGATGCCAAGTGTGCAGATGAGGAGACTCATAATGGGGAGACTCATAATGGGGAAACTCATAATGGGGAAACTCATAATGGGGAGACTCATAATGGGGAAACTCATAATGGGGAAACTCATAATGGGGAGACTCATAATGGGGAAACTCATAATGGGGAGACTCATAATGGGGAGACTCATAATGGGGAAACTCATAATGGGGAAACTCATAATGAGGGAACTGATAATAATAACGAGAAACCATATTTTGTTGACACCTCTAACCAGTTTAATCATGGAAAAGTTAGTATTCCAAGTGGAGAAAATCAACATATACATAGCACATCAATCAGAAGTATGAACAGTGTGAGGAAAAGCGGAACAGTGAACAATTTTGTAAACATTGCAAATGATGATCTGCTGTGCAATAATGCACAGTGGAAGAATAAATTAAAGAAAAAGTCTTTAAAGGATTTCAACTTAAACGCCTTGGAAGGAAGAAGTTTACGTCACATTTGTCCAGATCACAACATTACTGAATATATTAAAAACAGTTTTTTAAATGAAAATCAAATAAAGATATATCTCTATCAGTTGATTAGAGCCACGTTATATTTACATAGTCTCTGCATCACTCATCGTGATATAAAGCCACAAAATATTCTTATATTTCTAAACAAGGAATGGAGTAATAATGACACAACAACACTCCAGAAGAATCAGAAGGAGAAAGAGTGTTTAGTGTGCATTCAGAATTCTGTCAAAGTTAGGTACATTATGGATAGGAAGCAAGGGCGTACAAATAGAGCTGCCTCCAGTGCAAGAAATCCACATCACAATCAGAGCGATCCAATCGATCTGAACAACCGTGGTGGTCCAACCGATCCGATCAACCATGAAGACCAAACCAATCTGAACAGTTATGGCAACTTAACAGAGCTAACCAAGCTGATCGATTCGACCAACTATGGAGACTTAACTAAGCTAACCGAGCTGATTGACCCAACTGATCGGACCGATCCGAGTAAGGTGCAAAGGAAAATTTTGACAAAACATGATTACAATATGAGCAACGAACACAGGTTGAGGAACAATCGTAACTACCTAAGTAATAGATACAAAAAAAGCACACCTCTTCTTTCTAACTTGGAGTTGGAAAATAAAGAGGAGCCCTACTCTTTTGATGTCAAAGACAAATGGATCAGTAGTCACCATAACAGGAGCAATAACAGGAAAGTAGAAAATTGTTATACCTTCTGCAGTAGAAGCAGCACGCCTCTATCATGCAAAAGTGTGAAAAATCATTTTAAAAAACAAGATGTAAGACTGAAGAGATCATTGAGTGTGGTTCATTTGTTTAAAGACAAACAAGATATAAGAAGTAATAAATCATACGATAGCTACTCTCATTCATCGAAAAAAATTTCTAACAATGACATGAAAAAAAAAAAAAAAAAAAAAAAAGTGCATCTAGGATTAGCTCATTCTTATGCAAATGTTACAATGACAGATCAGGAAAGTGTTAAACTGAGTAAAAGTTATAATACCATCCGCAAGGTGCTAAGCAAGGATTCACCACACCATCATGATGCTTCAGCAACACATTGTGAGAATGATTCACCACTCCATCATGATGATACAGCAACACATTGTAAAAATGATTTACAACTTCACGACAAGAGCATTTGTCACAACTTTGAGAAATTCCTAAATGAAAGTGAAAAAAAACAAAAGGAAGAAATTCTCCAATCTGATAAAGTACACATGAACGACAAACATGACGAACCAGAAAAAAATAATCCAGATACATTATATATGAACAACATCATGTACAAATATATTAAATTGTGCGATTTCAACATATCAATTAAGTTAAAGGAAAACTACAAATATTTCAGTTATGTTTGTTCAAGGTATTACAGGGCCCCAGAGTTACTTTTTGGATCCAACCATTACAGCCAAGCTATTGACACGTGGTCTATAGGTACATTCTAAACATCCTTACATCACAAAGAGAGAAGAAGAAAACGTCCATGTCACGTCGCATCGTGTTGTGAACCCATTTCATTCGCATGTCCACTTCATCTAGCCACTTCATCTAGCCACTTCACCTGATCACTTCACCTCACCACTTCACCTGATCACTTCACCTCACCACTTCACCTCACCACTTTATCTAACCACTTCACCTCACCACTTCACCTCACCACTTCATCTAACCACTTCACCTCACCACTTCATCTAACCACTTCACCTCACCACTTCATCTAACCACTTCACCTCACCACTTCATCTAACCACTTCATCTAACCACTTCATCTAACCACTTCACCTCACCACGTCATCTAACCACTTCACCTCACCACTTCACCTCACCACTTCATCTAACCACTTCACCTCACCACGTCATCTAACCACTTCACCTCACCACTTCACCTCACCACTTCATCTAACCACTTCACCTGACCGTTTCGTGCAATCCCCGTTTTTTCACCCCTGCAAGGCTGCGTCATGGGAGAATTGATCCTTGGAAAACCTCTCTTCCTGGGAGATTGTGCATCAGACCAACTAGTAGAAATAATTAAAGTCTTGGGAACACCAAATGATGAAGATGTTTTATCATTTCGAAGTGGTCATAAAGATGTGAAATTTCCTCAAGTGAAACCAATAACATTAAAAGAATTAATTAAAAACCAAAGTTCCCAAGAGAGTATTGATTTACTGGGAAAATTACTGCAATTCAATCCACAGAAGAGAATTAAATTGTGCAGTGCTTTATTACACACGTATTTTGATGACATAAGGAATTTAAACGTTTTTAAAAAAGATATGAATTCAGATAATTCTTTCACTTTGCCTTATATCACTAATTGCTTTAATTTCACAAAAGAAGAGTTATTACATTTTACAGTTGAAGAACGTAAAATACTTGTACCATTAGAGGTGCGTCGTAGAAAAGTAGATGAAGTTATGCAATATATAGACATGACTTTGGAAGCTTTCGACAAGTTATATCCAAACAAGGTGCATTTGGCTTGTTAACTCTCTTGGGGGTGGGGGACAACGGGACACTGCATTATAATTATGAGAATTCTCTGTTCACAGCAACGATTAGCGGAAGCCCTTTTTTTTTTTTTTCTTAGTTCAGCATTTATTCCGCACATCCATGCATCCGTGCGTGAACTGGTCAAGCACACGAAAATGCACTCATTCACATCCCCGACCGGATTGTTTCTCCGTTTTTTATTCCACGAATGAATCCATGTTCCATCAATAAACACATTTGCATTTTTTTTAACATCTTTGAACAGAAAACATTTTACTCTCCCCAAGCCCTCTTTGTACTTTTCACCATTCGCTTTGTTTTTTAGATAATACATACCACCCTTCTTTAAGACGCACCCCCCACCCTCTCAAATTATTTGCACATACGTACATATGTGTGCATATATATATATATATATATATATTGGTAGACATTATAGATGTGTATACAGGTAGGTGTTCAAAAGCACATTGTAGGAAAAGAGACCTTCACCCTCTAGCTTGTCCCACAAAAAAAAAAAAAAAAAAAAAAAAAAAAAAAAATTATGATACGTTTTTTTTTTTTTTTTTTTTTTTTTTTTTTTTTTTTTTTTTAAAATGTAAGATGAATTCATGACAATTACAGAACTAACGGGATATAACGTTCGTCCAATTATTTACTAATCCTTATCATTTTTTTTAATTATTTGCAACGTTAGTTTTTTTTTCCCCAAATTTCTGACCCTCGTTCTTCATTTTGTTCAGCTGCGACCATGCACAAGTACGTATAAGCATGTATATATCCATTACACACATGTATATGTGATCACATTATTTTTTTATTTATTTATTTATTTTATTTTTTTTTTTTTGTTGTAAACCCTATTTCTTTGTGTCTCTCTGAGGTGTTTCCCCTCCACTCGAATTGACAAGGTCGATATGAACTTTAACGAGGGGGTGAATGCGCATGTCAGAGTGTGCATGAGTACCTAATTGTATATGTAATAAGGTGTATGCATGGATGTTTATACATGTGTACCATTTGGGTATATATATATATATATATTTCTTTTTTTGATTAATTTGTGTATATGTCTCCTCACTACACTCGCACAAACCCGTACAATCAAAATTTTTACAAAATCACATTTGTTAATCTGAGAATAGAAAATAATTTGATGGTTGAGTATATATGAATTATTTTCCCCATTTTATATAATGCGATGAAATAGAAAATTTTTTTATCTTTTTTTCTCCCTTTTTTCTGGAGTGGTAAACGAAAAATATATATATATATATGTATATATATATGTATTATTTACATGATTAATGCTAAATGTAACATTGGTTAAAAAGGGTGAAGTTTTGTTATGTTATTTAGAAATCGGAAAAAAAAAAATATAAGAAATATATTTAATGACGAAATGTATTTTCAGAATTGATCCTTTTTTTTTTTTTTTTTTTTTTTTTTTCGTCCCCCTATAATTAGTTTATTTTTTTTTTCTCATATTTCGGACGTTTCTGTGCCTTTTTACATGTATTGGTTTATATATCTTACTTTATCGGTTATATCAACCTGAACGCGTTCAGGTGTAAACGTAAGTATTTATGTTGTATGTGCTTGCAATTCATACAAAATGGTGCTCGTAATTGATCTTTTCTATCATGATAAATGTTACCATCTTTGAGAAGTGTGAAACAGAAAATTTCATAATATGTGATCTAAGTTTTATTGTGACGACTTGTATGAACTCTCCTCTCTTCATGTTTCAGCGTTTTGAGAATTTGGAGTTACAGTTACTCGTGTCTTTAATTTCTTTTTTAGCACCTTGCGTATGCGTGTTCGAGGGGCTATGTACACACAACAAATAGGGGATATGTCCTAGGGAAATTCATTTTTTTTTTTTTTTTTTACGTATCTATATGTATGTACGCATGTACACGTTAAGGTAAGTTTCTCACATTTTAAACCTGACCTCAGTGGAGGAGGGGAAAAATGCAAATTATGTCTAGGACAGGAGATCCCCCCAAAAGGAAATCTCTTCCCCTCAGAGGGAAATGGCAAAAAAAAAAAAAAAATCAATACACATAAATAGGTACACAAAAATAAGTGTGTATAAATAGGTACACATAAAGAGGTATACACAAACTGATAAAATTAATGATTTTTAAAAATAAAAGTTCAACGAATTCGAAGGCGCATACCTCATACCACACGAGTGATAAAATTTGCGAGGATATAGTTTTCATTACTTCAAGGATGAATTGTGTTTCAACTAGACCTTATGTTCTTTTTTTCTCCTTCACATTGAGGGTAAATTTTTTTTAAAAAAAATTCCAAGTTGGGCACCATGTGCTATGGGTATATTAAATCAGGCTAAAGAAATGGGATGCAAATATCGTGGTTGTTTGCTTTGCAAGCAAATAATTTATATGACCACGCTTGTTTCAATAAATTGCATTGCGAATGTTTAGAGTAGTAACAATATTGCTACGAGAAAAGTGCAATTTTTTTTTTTTTTTTTTTTTTCTGCGTATTAATGAAGCATGAGTATAGCAGATATATACGCATGAAAATTTAAAGCAATTCAGGTGAAAAGAGACTTTTTTTTTTTTTTTTTTTTTTTTTTTTTTTACCTTTTCCTAAAACTGTGGCGAAACTAATTTATATTCCAATATAAATGCCACAAAAAAAAAAAAAAAAAATTATCAAATGGCAAAACAGTAAGGATTGAGTAATTCCCTCAGCGTATGAAACATTTCGCGTTTATGTTCACCAATCTGGCTTATCTCGTTTTGGAAAATAACCCAAAATGAGCAACAACAGTAATAAATTCGTTGGGGGAAAATTAAAGCTAAAAATTAATAAAAAAAAAAAAAATGAAAAAAAACATAAAAGTCATGATGGAAAACATGATAATTATATGAACAAAAATGATGAAAATTATGAACATGTTCAGATAAAAAATAGTATTAAAAAAAAAAAAAAAAATAATAATAATAATAATAATAATAATAACAACGACGAAGAAGAAAATGTAATAAAAGGAAGTGGACGAGTAGTTACAATAAAAAATACAGTGCAAGGATTTGAAACAAAATTCGTAGAAGAGTTTAAAGTGGGCTATGAAATAATTCTAGAAAACCCAACAAGTTTACAAACAGAAAGAAAACTTGTAACGTCCATTTTAAGCAACAGAACACTGCTCATTGAGGAGGAGTTCTCAACAGACATAAGTACCACGTGTTCCTATTACATAGGTATTGTTAAGAAAGATGGAGAAAAAACAAACAATAAGGATATTGTCAATCAGATCGAATTAGATGAATATGTCCCTGATCAGCATATTGATCAAGTTGATTTGAAATATGCAAAGGTCTTTGATCTGAAACCCAAACATGACATCGTTAAGGTTAGGGAAAAATCTGGTCTCTGGTCATACAAAATTGTGAATAAAAAAATAAAAGGAAATCTAACCAACGAAGAGAAGCTGGATATCAGAGTGAAAAGTGGGAGAGACAAATTCTGTTGGTAGGTTTGCACACACACACACATATGCAGTGAAAGAGAGTGAGGGAGAAATGGACGTGTAAGCATGTTAAAAGTAGTGATAGAAGTATTTACTAATATTTATGTACCCTATCATTTTTTCATTCATGCCCAGTAATATTTCACTTCCGTTTTTTTTTTTTTTTTTTTTTTTTTTTGTTCATACGCATGTATGATTTATAATAATTTCATAATTACACAAGTATGCAACTGGAAAACTGCCAAATTGCCCATTTTTATGATCGTGTTTTTTTCGCCTTTTCCTTTTACTGCACAAGGGTAAGTGCGGGCAAAATTTTGCCATTAAAATAGCAACAAAAAAAAAAACAAAAAATAAACAAACAAGCAAGCAAACAAGCAAGCAAACAAATAAACAAGCAAGCAAACAAACAAACAAGCAATCAAACAGCAAACTAATTGGAAAAAAAAAAAAAAAAAATGAGAACCTCTTTAGGGGTATCACAATGTGGATATTTAAAAAAACGTTACAGCCTTTTCTATGTCTGTATTATATCGAATCTTCCAATTCTATTACCCCTCCCAATGAAATAGAAAAAGGAAAATAGCAACTAGATGTAGGTGCCAATTGAGGAATCCGTTTTGTGCAAAAAGGAAATGTCGTTCTGCTTCCAAATGATGAAATGTGTAAAATTGCTTTGTTGGAGTATCCCAGTTTTGTTTGCATATGTGAAGGGAAATGTACCATGAGATAGGACTATTATGCTTTCTTCAGTTACAAACGTATACACATTGTGAAGCAGTGTACATACACATATTTGTCTTCTTGTGTATATCTAGAATGCAATCGAATATTTTTTCACGTGCTTGATTAAGATGAACCTTTAGAAGAATCTTGAACTAGCTGAAAATTCTGAGAGGAATATTTGAGTAGCCAGCTGACATCTATTTTCGTTACGGTTCTAGCATACAATCGCTTGGTTTTTACAACATCCGAATAGAAAATAAAGGATGGTTTGATAAAGGAACTAAAAAGAGTAGAGGACGGGTGAATATACAACTTGGTTTTGCTAACCAAATTTATAAATTCATTTGGATTTGATGTTGATCTAGCTACATTAAAAAAACAAGATTTGCACAAACAAATTAGAATCTGATCCCATTTGTGCATATGTAATTTTTGCGATACTTTTATCCCCATCTTATTTGTCATTATTTCTAAAATTTGCTCTTTTATTTTTTCTGCTTGTTGCAATGTTTCATTATTTAATGCATAAATGTTACAGAAATGTTTCCTCTCTTTCGGAGTAGACTCTTCTTGCCACAAATAAAAGATGTGCAGGAGAGTTAGGTGATCACCATCTGGGTGCATTAATTTTCTCCTGGCCACGTTGATCAATTTGCTCTTGTCGCTTATGTTGGGTTCCTCCTGCTCTTCATACTGATTGGAAGCCGTGCAAGTCATCTTATTGGGATTAGCAACATTAGTAATGTTTGCTGTGGTAGAAGTGCTATTATGAGAGGCATTCGAAATGGTATTGTTTGCACTTGACCCTTTAACCGGATCCGCCTTGGAGCTGCCAAACGATTCATCATTTATAATTTTCATATCCTCGTAAAAGTTGTAATTAAGAAATATGCTATCACAATTTAAGAGTGCCACGATGGTAGCAATTTCGTCTATGCAATTAAATTCAACCGAACATAACATCATGTTCGCATATATTGGGCTCAATGGCAGAAGACACAATTTTTTGCCATGTTCAGTTAGGTTATTATTCACATCTATTGCATTTATTCTAAACAACACTTTTGCTGAATGTATGAGTAGTTCTTTTTTTGGATTCTCTGGGAAATCAAATTCAAGTGGATTATGTATATTCATGGCCTACAGTGGGAGAAAAGAGGAGAAACAGATCAGCTATTAAAAGGATGGAAAAAAAAAAAAAAAAAAAAGTCAGCTAACCGGTCAATTTTACATGAACAAAATGAAGAAAAAAAAAAAAAAAATAAAAAAAAAAAATAATAATAATAAAAAATAACCAGCACACGCACCTTCAGTTCCAAATATATCTGTGTAAGATCTGAGCGGAAAATCTCTGGAATTAAAAATGGACTCATACATTCATACTCCTCCAATGTGTAAATTCTGTAGACATGTCCCGGACCTTCTCTTCCAGCTCTTCCGCCTCTCTGAACGGCTGAATCCTTCGAAATTTGTGTCACTTTCAAAACATTGCTTCCCTTTTTGGAGTCGAAAAATTTTATTTTCACGCGACCGCTGTCTATCACATACTTTATGTTCGGAATGGTCACCGATGTTTCAGCAATATTCGTGCTAAGAATGACCTGATCAAGACGTATAAACAGGTGTATATATAAGCATATGTGTACGTATATGTGTATGTATATGTGCATGTATATTTGTACGCATGCGTGGGGGAGGAAGCAGAAATTCGGTTAACATTGTGCGAATTTGCAAAAGAAACGAAGAAAAAGGAAAATGAAGAACAGGAAATGGGACAATAAGATGAATCCTTTCGTATTTTTTTATTTTTTTTTTTTTTTTTCTGAAGAGGTATAAATTTTCATGTAAATGTAATAAAGTGTTTATAATTATATGAACATGATATTGTTGTAGCTTTTTCAATGCTCATATTTTTTTTTTTTTTAAATTCTCTTCGTTTTCATCTTTACCTTCCGTGTGTTGTGAGGTGCTGGTTCAAATACGATCCTCTGTTTCTTGTTGGGTAGAGATGAGTACAGCTGTAGAATCTTCATGGGATATATCCTCTCTGGAATTATTTCTCTTTGACCGAAATGGAAGCAAATACCATCTTCAATTGGATTTTCTGCATTTAATGCGACGTTTATCTTACTTAAAATGTCACTTTCTTCTACGTTTTCTTTTTCATCTTTCATTAACTTTTTGAGAAGAGAACCTTTGTAAATTATTTTAAGTTTCTCCTTAAGCATTATATTTACTATTTCAATTTCTTCCTGTCCTGGAAGGAAAACTAGAATGTCTCCCATGTCTGCATTTTTCTCATCGTCATTTTTCTTTCCTGCGTTATTCTTCTCCTTTTGCCATTCATTCCTTTCCCCATCGTCTCCTACATAGCCAAAGTGGATTTGCAAAATAGTGCATACAACTGAGAGAAGATAATCTTCTACAGGTTTTGTTGGGTAAAAAATACTCACCTTGTGCAGTTTGTGAGGAATTGATATAATAGGTGGATTTATAAAGAAGTTGTTAAATGTGGCTATGTCGAATGTAGCGGACATAAGAATAATTCTTAATTTCTTTCTCTTTTGCATTAGTATTTTAACATATCCTAGTAGAACATCGGTTCTAATAGATCTCTCGTGAATTTCGTCCAAAATTAAAAACTTATATTTTTTTAACAACGAATCGTTCATAATTTCTCTAATCAGAATTCCATCTGTAACAAATTTAATTCTTGTTTCTTCAGATGTAACATTTTTAAATCGTATAGCATAACCGACATAACTACCGATACTTCCTCTATTCATCTCTTTGGCCACTCTTTCTGCAACAGTGATAGTTGCTACTCTTCTTGGCAATGAGATGAGCATCTTAAACGGTTTCTTTTTCACATCTTCTTTTATCTTATCTCTTTTTTCACTAGCTTCCTCCCCAATCGTCCTACCATTACCATCAATCGTGTGGAAATTGCTTTGATTCTTTTTCCATTTGTGTCTCTTATTAAAAAAATATTCATTTATGATTTGTGGTACCTGAGTTGTTTTTCCACATCCGGTTTCACCCTTAATAATAATTAACTTGTTTTTTTTTATGCATTTTTTAATTTCCTTTTTATGTTTAAGTATGGGTAATTCCTTCATCTTGTTTTCATACGAGATGCAACTACTCTCTGGGGAAGCATTTATCCATGTGCTGTGTTGCTGTGTATTCAACTACTTATGTTTGCTATGTGTAATTTTGCGTGGGCTACTACTTTTATGTCTTCTGCTGATGCATATGTTACTGTTCTTATGCTGCTGCATATGTTGCTATTCTTATTCTACTACTTTTATGTGATGTTCTACCTACACGGATGTGATGTAGATATCTCTTCTCTACTTATACGTGTCAGGGGAGAGTTCTGTTCGTGCCCATGCCACGTGATATTTTTCAGAAAAGTGTTCATACGTCTTATGTTGTAAGCATGGGACGGATTTATTCTTTTTCCCTTTCTTCCTATTTGCATTTACAAAGTTGCAAATTCTTGTATTGCCACATTATATAACACATAAAAGTTTTTTTTTTTTTTTTTTTTTTTTTTTTTTTTTTTCCACTATTCTATTGTTAGGTCAGCCCTTTTAAATATGTGCATAGCACTTTTATTAAAAAGGCAAAAATGAGTAAAAGGATGCGCAAATTAGCAGATATGGAGGTATGAAGATAAGCAAAATAGCAAATGATATGGTAAGAAGATAATCAAATGAGGAATTATGCAGAGAAAATCGTTCCCAAGTTGAGTGTTCTTTTTTCCCTACGAAGGCTATGAAATCTATATCAACGTGATTTTTCATAAAAAAAAAAAAAAAAAAAAAGGTGGGGCAAAAGAATAAAAGAAAATGGGGAAAAAAATAAGTCTCTAGGCGCATTGATATTAGGTGGAAATGTGATCTTTTCTCGTTAGTGTTAACATGTAACTATGTATATATATATATATATATATATATATATTGTTGCGTTACATGTTTTAAAAAAACCGGGAATTTTTTTTTTTTTTTTTTTTGGACCTTTAACTTATGACAGCATAAAAGATTTATTTTTATTTTTCTCAAGTTCGGAGGTATACAAAAGGTTGCCGAGCAAAAAAAAAGGGAAGTCAGACAATTCGTTAATAATAACTAATTTTTTTTATTTCCCTATTATTATTATATATTATTATTTTTTTTTTTTTTTTTTTTTGGAGGAGGAGGACAACGTGGGTCCCTATATATGAAAAGTGAGGTATGATTTACACGTATAATGCTTGATTTTATACCATTCAAGAATGGGTAAAAATTGTGAAGTTTTATCGCATTATATTATATATGTATATATATTATTATACATGTATTTGTAAACACTTAAGAGCAAACTATTCCCCACACACACAGACATTCACGTATAAATCTTTCACAAATGAAGTTGCTAATTTATATTTACCATTTCATAAATGAAGCTTCCTTATATGTGTTTATCTAACTTCCTAATTATACACAAATTAAAAGCGTACTTTTTCTTCGCATTTTTATGACTATTGTTCAGTTATTATACTTATTTTTTAACTAATAAACTGAATGTATATTATTTACCCTTTGAATAATTATATGGGGAAGAAAAGAAAAGGATATTAAAGAGAGAAGATTATTATTTTTTATTTTTTATTTTTTTTTGTTTTTCCGTTTATTTGCACAAGTGTGGATGATTATAAAAAAAATATAACCCTTTTTTTAATTATCTTCTATGTTTCCAAAGTAATAGATCGACTATATGTAATCTGTCATTTTTATGTATTTATTAGACGAATCGTTGAAAGACCGAGAACATGTAATATTTTTCTTAAACATTCGAAAATTTCCAAATGCTTGAGAAAAACATAATCCATCATCATTTGAAGCATGTACACATAAACAAAATGAAATTCAAGTAAGGACACACAACAACATTTATCTGTTCATAATATACGAGGCTCTCGTTCGTGTTTTCATATCCATCCCTTTATCATATTAAAGGACAAAAATAGTTATTGGTTATTGAGTGACACAGTTCTTATAGCAGAAAAGAAAATAAACATATTTAACCGTGGTAATGTGAGGGTGGGTAGTATATATTAATATATTTGATCAACTTTGAAAAAAAAAAAAAGAAAATTTGCTCATTTGCTAAGGGTAAGTTTTTTTTTTTTTTTCTCTTTCGCATTTCCTTTTTTAACGTTTTTTTTTTATTTTTTTTTATTTTTAAATAACTTTACATAACATGAACGTGTTATGAAATTTTCTCAAATTGTCATTTTTTTTTGCTTACAAATTTCTGAACACGTTCATGTTACGTGAGACTATTTTAAAAAAAAAAAAAAAAAAAAAAAAAAAAAAAAACAGTATATAGTATAGATTAGTTAAAAATCCTGTGAGATATAGGAGTGTTACGTGCAGATTACACATTATTGTATACTTGTGGATATATCCACCGTATGATATCCAACTTTTTTACATGCTATAAAAAGCATGGATTATCACAATTCTTCCATCACAGTTGAATAAATCTTAATGTCTATTCCTATAAGCACAACTCGACATATATTCTATAACAACTTGTGAGATGGAAAATTGAACAGATTCAGAAAAACAAATACTAATGCATGGTAAGAAGTTTATATATATAAACATGTTGCCATATACACATGAGGGAATGTATGTGTGCATAAAATTATAAGTGCCCCGTAAAATGATATATGCAAAAAATGATAAATGGGGACATTACAAGTAACAAAAAAGGGAAAAGGATTCCCAATTCTGTATGCATGATACTGGCCGCTGATAAACTCGCGTTGAAATTCATCGTCTTGTTTCTATATATAAAAAAAAAAAAAAAATAAAAATAACGTCAAATATGATTATGTAAAGTCGCTTCAAATCATGTTATGTAAAATAATTGCAAATAAAAATAAAAAAACACAAGCGAGAATATGAGGACCAATGTGTCCACTTCGCACAATTGGTGCTTTCATTTTTTTTTTTTTTTTTTTTTTCCTATAAAAAATTACATATTGAATAGTAATCGCCTTTTTGAAGAAAAACCCTAAGCTGTAGAATATTTTTTCCACTTGTGCGCACTTATAAGAATGTAATAATGGTACACACATATTTAAATATATACATATGTATGTGTTCACCTTAAGCACTCATAACTGTAAACAAATGAAAAACAACGTAAAGGGGGCTAATAATATAAAGGGGAAAAATAAGGTTACACGCTTTGCCTATACACACACACACACACTTTTTCTAAGCATGAAATTTATCCAATTTAATGAAAGGAGAAATTACGCACTTGCTTGAAAATTCCTTTTTTATTATATCTGGAAGCATAACATTTGCGAAAATGCTTCTTCTGTTGTTGTTACACATAAAATTTTATGTTAAAATATGTTAATGTAGTTTTTAATTTTTTTTTTTATATTTTTTTTAAACAACCAGCTAAGCATTGAAGATGTTTCAAAATACCTTAACATACAGGGGAAAAAAAAAAAAAAAAAACAACAAAATCAAGAAGATTTGGCAAGAACAAAATTGCCACCAAAGTAAAGAAAATGTTCCATAAACCTATATAATCCACATATATAAATATATATACCTAGTTTATCAAAATCTCAAAATATGATATTGTAAATTCTGCCACCAACATGGGAAAAAACTTAATTGTCACACATGAACACAAGTACATATAACATGTATGTAAAAAGCAAATAGCTTAAAACAAAACTACCTAGAGAAAGGCAGTGTAAAGAAAAAAAAAAAAAAAAAAAAAAAAAAAAAAAAAAAAAAAAAAAAAAAAAAAAAAAAAAAAAAAATTTACACAAAAAAAAAAAAAAAAAAAAAAAAAAAAAAAAAAAAAAAAAAAAAAAAAAAAAAAAAAAAAAAAAACCTAAAAAAAAGGAGAGTAAAAAAAAAAAAAAAAAAAAAAAAAAAAAAAAAAAAAAAAAATGAACACAATGCAAGGATATAATACTTTTCCACATTGATTATTTATATATATTGATAAACAGGTACAGTGCGCAGACTTGAACAAAATGAGTGATGATAATCGGTAGATCATGATGAACAATTTTAACTTTAAAAAAGTACCTGAACAAATTACAGAGCGATTTATCGCGCAAACTACACAACAAATAACGCGAAAAAGGCTACCTGAAAAAAGTTACCCAAAAAGGTTACTCCAAAAGGGCTATCATAAAGAGTTACAGGAAAAAGTTACCTAAAAAATTGGCCTGGAATTTTTGGCCTGAAAATTTTGGCCTGAAAATTTTGGCCTGAAAATTTTGGCCTGAAAAATTTAGCCTGAAAATTTTGCCTGAAAAAATTCTCCTGCGCAATTAATGCGAACGATTTTAACCTGAACAAATTTTAATAGCAACAATGTAGCATGAACAAATTTTTGCGAAAACAGTTTAACCTGAATTTTTTTTTTTTTAACTCTAACAATACATAGCCTAAATAATTTTTTTTTTTTTTCAACTCTAACAATATTTATAACCTAAATAATTTTTTTTTTAACTCTAACAATATTTTGCCTAAATAACTTTTTTTTTTTTTTTTTTTTTTTTTTTTTTTTTTTAACTCTAGCAACTTAACCTAAATTTTTTTTTAAACCTAACAATTTGGACTGAATAATTATTTTTTATTACTTCTATAAATTTATTAGTCTGAACAAATTCAACCTAAACAATTTAATGCTAACAAGAAAAATGCAATGGCACACTTTTAAAACAAGTTAGTGCTGGCTTGGGATTAATGAAAAAACTTTTGTTTTTTATTTTATTTTATTTATTTTTTTTTTTTTTTAGCTCTAATCTTATTTTATACTATTTAAGCACTAATTTTATGAGTATATATATATATATATATTAATTATACATGTGGGGGTAATGCATTTTTATTATAGTTCTCTTTACTTTTGATTTATATATACAGTACTAGATATATATATATACATATACTATGAACTTAATAGTGTATACATATATATATTTTATGGTATTTATATATTTACTTGTGCATTATTTAATTTTCTTTATAGTTAGCTTACACTAGGGTTAAACTAAAGCATATATATATATATATATATATATAATATAATATATTTGCCATTCTTATGCGTAAACACGTACATGACAAAATGTTATGCTGCAAAAATTATGCCATTATAGTTACATATTGTTATATTATATATACAATGTATTAGGTGAGAATGTATAAATTATATGTATGAAATATTTGTACATATGAAAATAGGTGTTCACAAAATTACCTGACTGTTCAGTTCATGAATAAAAAACATCGTGCTCCGTGACGAGCATTTTATATATATACTCTTCTAATAAGCATTCTCATATAAGTATAAATAAATATACATATATATACACGTGCTATATGCATGATTAATATATATATATTACGCAATTGTATCAAAGCATATGGGTCTTACAGATTGAGAAAGTTTAATGGTAAGTACATATATATCTGCCGTGGTGCTATATAATATATAATATTATATATATGTATATATTATTTATATGTATATATTATATATATGTATATATTATATATATGTATATATTATATATATATATATGTATAGCATTACAGAGTGCTATTATCGGCAGTAACAATTTTGTTAACCCCAGTGGTAGGCATAATTATTATATATTTCATATTATGTATTACATATTTATATATATTACAATTCAAATGTTATATATCTTATATTCTGTATTATATGTTGCCATTACATGATTACCCCTATTGCATGGTTTCACCGTTTCATTGTTTCATCGTTTTATTGTTCATCGTACATTTGAAATTTTTTTAAAGGGTTAGAAATTTTAAGAAAAAAGTAAAAATTAAAAAAAAAAAAAAAAAAAAAAAAAAAGGGGTTTTAACATGAACATTAATAAAATTTCTTACGGTATTGTGGATATGCAAATTTATGTATACGCAAGCGCAATGCAATTCTTGTGACTGGTACATATAACACAAGTGATGTATGCATTGCATTGATTGTATGTATGTATGTATGTATGTAATGAGTATATATGTACATATGCATATATGCATATCTTACTTATATACTCATATGTGTATATTTATTTATGCGTATTTCTGAATATATATACATATGCATATGAATTAAGAGGCAGTATAAAAATTCTCAATATTTTTATTATTTTTATTTTGTGTTATATCGTTACACTGTTTTGTGTCATTGTGTTAGTTTTTTTTTTTTTTTTTTTTTTCTTTTTTTTAATCATTATACGAATTTTGCTGAACGGCTCTCTATGTTCATTTTGAATACGAATGAAACTATTTATAAAAAAAGTAAGCCTTAATGCCTAATTTGCTATAATTTTTTCCTTTTTTTTTTTTTTTTTTTTTTTTTTGGCCAATTTTTTTTTTTTTGAAGTAGCACATATTTTTTTGAATTTTTTTTTTTTTTTTTTTATCTCATTACATATTTTATGTATGCCTTAACACGTGTATACAGGCTGTGTAATATAAAACACATACAAAAATATATTTGAAGCGCGAAATTGCGTAACCCTTGAGTAACCTTTGTTTATATACTTTCTACATTAGATAGTACATATATGCATGTGAATGTGCTCATGTGTATGTACTAATTTGTATGTACCAACTTGTACGTACAAACGTGTATGCACTAACTGTATGCACGAACTGTATGCACTAACTGTATGCACTAACTTGTATGTACGCACACACATACATGCCCTAACATTTTCGATCTACCATACAATATATAAGAAGACGTTCTAAATAATCATCTTAACAACCCTTTTGAATACATGAAACAGAATAAAAAACAGACAAACCAGGAATATCAATTTTTTGTTTTTTAAAAAAAAAAAAAAAAAAAAACAATAAATAAATAAATAAATAAATAACGAAAATGACAAAAGTTAATAAACCTCCCACAACGGCCAATCCTAACATTAAGTTAAAGAGACCCAATTCGAAAGAAGAGGAGGTAAGGATAAAGACGAAGAGAAAAATCATACCAATAGTAGTAATAGTCGTACTTCATGTTTTTTTTCCCAACCGTTAGCCACAATCGCAATGAGTTTATATGAACGTATGCACAAGCGAAGTTATGTTATGTGCACTGAACGTAGAAGACAAATGTTTGTTTATAAATTTGTCTGATGCTACAATTGTTACATCGATGAAAGAATGACCCATATTTTAATTCATTTGTGTTTCTTCATAACGTGTGGTTTATCTACCCTCTTTGATATATATAAAAAAATGTATATAATTTTTTTCGTTTTTTTTAGTCTTTTTCCATTTATTCTAAGTCTTAATGTATTATAATTTTTTATATTGTACTTTTATTATTCCCCTCATTCTATCTCTCTCCTCCCCCACATCCCCTCGTTCATGCAATTTCTGTCTCGTTTTACATATGTGTATTTACCCCTGTCTCTTTTTGTGACATTTTTATGGAACACAAAATGATGCTTTAGATATTTGTACATGTAATTTAGTTTGTACATGTGATTTAGTTTGTACATGTGATTTAGCTTGTACATGTGATTTAGCTTGTACATGTGATTTAGCTTGTACATGTGATTTAGCTTGTACATGTGATTTAGTTTGTACATGCGCATGAGCATTTCTATACCAAAATTTTATGCACGTAAAAAATGAAATTGCATGGATGTTCGAAGACCGACATAACATTAGCTTTCAATACACAAAGGGGAGAAGGGAAAGAAAAAAAAAAAAAAAAATATAAAATTTTAAAAATATAAAAGCAAAAAAAAACAATTTTTTTTGCAACGTCTTATCTGAATTTGCCATGCATATTTATGCATCATTTTTTTTTTTCATTTTTCACATCATAGGATTTCAACCAACCGGTAAAAAAAACAGTGATCGCAAAAAACATAAAGGTTGTAAAAAAACCTGAAGATATAAATACAACTCCAAAAAAAGTAGAAAATGAAAGTGCAGAAAAAGTTCAAACAGATAATGACCAAGCAAAAAAAGAAGTAAATAATGTGGAGAATAAATCCAAAAATACAACAACTGATAGTAGTAAAGCAAAAACGAACGCAGATAATAATTCACAAAAAAATGACACAGATACCAGTGGAGGAGGTGTGCACCTTGGATATTTTTCATGGTTATGGAGATATTTTCCCACGAAAAAAACATAAAATTGCAATCCCTTTTTTATTTTTAGAAGAAGGAAAAAAAAAATAAAATAAAATAATATAAAAGAGATGGAATATAGCGAGCAATATGCCTCATGGAGTATATCCATTATGGTGTATGAACAGCAAGAAAAAAAAAAAAAAAAAAAAAAAAATCAGTAATAAATAATATGATCGTGCAGGAAAAATTAAACGAACGTTGTAGCTAGTTAACGTGTGTATACATATACATATATACACAGGTGTATACATTCCTACTTACGTGCGCACACACGTGCATGTATATATATATAACTTTTGAACGTTGAATGCATGGACGTTCAATTACGGCATTTGTGGCAAGTAATGTATATATATATATATATATTTATATATATAACTATCCTCATGCTTGGAAAATTTTGTGTGTATGACAAGTTCATTCATGGAAATCACGTGTATGGAAATAACAAATATAGAATTTTCATGTATAGAAACTGCATGTATAGAAACTGCATGTATAGAAATTACATGTATAGAAATTACATGTATGCCAATATATGCCCATCTCCCTAAATTACCTCCTATCTATTGTATCTTTCATTTCTCCCTTTTCCCTTTTTTTTTTTTTTTTTTTTTTTATATTTTAATTGGGCTTGTATATATATGTACATATATACATATGTATGAAAATCACAGATATGAGCATACGTACAAAAGTACATAGCGTGTTTATAGTCATACACAAAATGTGCAATGTAAAGTATGCAATTTTTTTCTTATCACCCTTTTGATTCCCTTCATACCCTTTACAAAGTTACCACACCTATTTTCTCTTGTTATCACTCTTATTACTCCTACAATGTGTTATGCATTTTTATGAAGTTTTAAGCAGTTTTATGCAATTCTATGCAATTCTATGCAATTCTATGCATTTCTAAGCTATGTCACTTTATGTTACTTTATCCTACCTTATTTTACGTCATTTTGGTTTTTTTTTTTTTTTTTTTTTTTTTTTTCATTTTGCATTTCTCTTTTTAAAACTTTTTTTTTTTTTTTTTTTTTAAAAAAAAAAAATGCTTTTTTAGTGCCGTTAAAAAATTTTATTTCCTTCCAAAAAAAACTTAAAATATATGTACATAAAAAGAATGAAAAAAAAAAGGAAAAAAAATGGAAATTAACACCAAGTGATGGTGAAAGGGTGTAACAGACAAGTTTGAGTATACATAAAAGTTTACCTAAGATTAACAAAGTGGTACATCTCCTACTCCCCTTTCCCCAAGTTACGACTTAAAAAGAACAATGTATAGTTCTTAGCATTTTATGCAACAACTACTGTTAAGAAGTACCCTTTTTTTTTTTTTTTTTTCTTCTTTTCTTGATCAATTGGATTGGGATGTTTTCATGCAAAATTATGAAGTTCTGGTGTATACTAATGCTGCGTATCATAGTGGTGATAGTTTTACTTCTACACTCGTAGCATGTGTAATGTGTAACTGGAAATTCAGAGTGATATTATACAATTATGAACTTTGTTTGTTTACCCAGAAAGAAATATATCCATCAATTTAGCTATAAATGTTTTATGAGATAAATGCAAATAGCACAATCTTTACAACCTTACTTGTATAAGTAACAACGAATAATGTTCAAAAGTTAATTATGTAATTGAAAAATGATAAAGTTGGATAAATAAATAAACAAAAAAAAAAAAAAATAAAAAATAAAAATAAAGCAAAATAGAATAAATAAACGAGGGAAAGAAAAAATACTAACATAGAGGTAATTCGCACGGAGATATGTGAGGAGATGTTTTTTTTTTTTTTTTTTTTTTTCCTTCTGACAGAGGAGAGGCTCAGCTGATCGGATGTGGAATCCCGTTGAATGGAAGTAGTGAAACAAATGTATATCCCAAAAGGAAAGAGGAAATCATTAGAAGATATTCCACAAATTCTCAAACTCTGAACATATGGATGAACAACATGTAGCAGCACTAAGACTGAATTCGGATATGCTAATGTTGTCGTCCAAATTTTGAAGTTTCATAACGGGATGTGAATATGCTACAGCCCCAATAAAAAATGTGATGGGAACATTTTCGTTTTGTAAATTCTGAACATAATCAGACAAACGTACTTTCTTACCCTTGACTGATAAAGCAATTTTTTTCCCATTAATTGGCAAAATGGCATTATAATCATTTTTCAAAAATTTCAATAAACAAATGTTTTTTTCATTTGCTTTTATTTTGTATTTACGTAAGAAAGTTACCATTAACGATTCAAATTGGTCATACGTTTTTGGAATTTTTAAATTTGAAGAAACATAAAATAATTGGTTATCATAAGTTTTTACATACACTTGTAGCATGCCATATTTATTTAATGCACTTTCTAGTAGGTGTACTAAGCATTGATGTAATATATCTGGTCTATAATTTTTTATCTCTTCTTCGCTTTCTTTATTTCTTAACAGATGCTTATGTTTCACATTATTAGCTAATTCATAAATGTATTTCTTAGTTTCGATTAATTGTAAATGAGCTCCTTCTAAAATTATTATAATTTTTCTCCCCTTTATATTCTCTGCTAAAATATGGGATTCACAATTTTCAGAAGTTATCATCTCGTTTTGTGTGCTGTAAGGGAGAGGAGGTAAGGAGGGTATGGGCACTGGTTGTGCTCTTGCACTCACGATCGAGTATGTATAATATATATGCTTTAAAATCCAAACTGCTGTATGTATATGTGTAGGGGATCCCCAGCTTGGTTTTGCATCCGGGTTTCCACTTAATGTTGCATATTGATTCTCATCCTCTCCTATTCTCTCCTATTCTTTCCTATTCTCTCCTATTCTTTCCTATTCTTTCCTATTCTTTCCTATTCTTTCCTATTCTTTCCTATTCTTTCCTATTCTTTCCTATTCTTTCCTATTTTCTCCTATTTTCTCCTATTTTCTCCTATTCTTTCCTATTCTTTCCTATGGTTGGATGTTGCTACTTATGTGCTCAGAAAAACAACAAATAGAACAGAACAAAAAATGCGTTTGTTTGTCAAATTCTGTCAAATCAAGTTCATTCGAATGGGGCTCTTTCTTCAGTATAGAAAAATGAAACGGCTACTTTGGTATGCAAAATGTGCCACAAAATTTGGCATGAAAAAGAAATAAATATGAATCATCTAAATTTAGTGAAAAAAAGGTGACACATAAATGGGTAACAGCAGAGTGTTGCCATTTTTTTTTTTTTTTTTTTTTATTATTTATTTAAAAAAAAAAATGAAGCGAATAGATATCCTTTTTTTCTTTTAAAAATAATTGCTCGTTCGTTGTTCCCTGCTGTTTTTGAAGCACTCGGTAGCAATGTAAAGAGATGAAAAAATAAATTAAATTAAATAAAGCAAAGCAGAACGAAGTAAAATAAAGTAAAATTGGAAAAATTGGAAAAACTGGAAAAACTGGAAAAACTGGAAAAACTGGAAAAACTGGAAAAACTGGAAAAACTGGAAAAACTGGAAAAATTGGAAAAATTGGAAAAACTGGAAAAATTGGAAAAACTGGAAAAATTGGAAAAACTGGAAAAATTGGAAAAACTGGAAAAATTGGAAAAACTGGAACAAGTGTCGTGGGAGGTACCATATTTTTACAATTGCAAAACGTCAAGTGGCAAAAACAACTGAATAAGCCCGACGAACTGGGGAATTTTCTTTTTTTTTTTTTTCCTTCAAAATGTAACCTTGCGAATGGAAGCAGCGAGAGAAGGATACGAGGTGCCCCCTTTTTATACGCATAAATGGGAAATTTCCAAATCGCTTTTTTCGCCTGAACCGTTCAGAAAATTTTGCAAAAAAAAAAAATAAATAAATAAAATGTAGTGAAATCGAATGTAGTGAAATCGAATGAAGTGAAATTGAATGAAGTGAAATTGTATGAAGTGAAATTGTATGACGTGAAATCAAATGAAGTGAAATCAAATGACGTGAAATCAAATGACGTGAAATCAAATGACGTGAAATCAAATGAAGTGAAATAAACAAAAAAAAAGGCTAGCTGTCAAACGGAAGGGCGCCTCCAAGAACCATACAACGAATGCATATCCACAGATATAGAATTGCCCACACGAACTGTATGCACATATTTACATGCGCACGGATATGATGAATGTATTTTGGGGTGCCTTTTGCTAAACCACACCTAACGGATAATATCATTTCATGTCTGTGAATAAATGGAGAGAGAGATAGAATCTCTCAGAGGTGAGTAGGTAGAAAAGGGTCTTCACCTCAAAAGAGAGATTTCCCAAATAGGGGCAAATAAATTTTTATAATAAAACGGGATAAAACGGGTCAAAGTGAGATAACGTGGGATAAAGCGGAATAAAGCGGGATAAAGCGGAATAAAGCGGAATAAAGCGTGTCAAAGCGTGTCAAAGCGGGATAAAGCGTGTCAAAGTGAGATAACGTTGGAGAAAAATGGCAAGTGGGGGAAGCACAAGGATATACCACTTGAAAGCACATAGAGAACTGCGAATAGTAACAATAGAAAAGTACACTAAAATTGATGAGGAAGAGGATTGTGTGAAAATTTGTTTACTGCCAAGTGGTAGTTCGGGAGGATACAAAAATGAGCACAGTACTAGCAGTAGTAGTGGTAACCTGACAAGCACAGCAGAAATATTCGGAAGGGAACTAATCATTGATAAGGAATACAAATTTGGTTATAATAAAAAATTTTCCATTTATACCTTTACAGGATGCACAATTCAAATAAAAGGACGAACATTACAAGAGTATGAAAGCAGCAACAATACGATTGAAGAATATTTATCACTATGCTATATTTTGGATGCTTATAGAAAGTTGGCAAAAAAAAAAAAAAAAATTGGCCCAAGGATTTTAATTACGGGGAATAATAATTCTGGGAAAAGTTCTGTTTCAATGCTACTTTTAAATTATGCATTAAAGTCTGGATTCAAACCTATTTTTATCGAAGCCGATACGAAATGTTCATGTGATAAAATCGAATTAAATAGAGGTCCTGGTATCATGAGTTCTTTTGTGTATGATCCTATGAACAAAATGAAATGTGCAATAGACTACTACTTTGGCTATCTAGATTTAAATGATGATATTAATTTGTATTACCACTTAAATGAATGCATAAGTAGCTGTGTTCATTTAATGCTCCTTAATAATTTAAATTCTGTCACATCTACTTCCAAAACAGATGCTGAATATGAAGAAATATACGCTGCTGGATTCATTTTGAACGTTCCCTCGGAGGCAGATCACCATGTCATTAACAACTTGATTGATATATATGCCATAAACATTGTCATAGTTATTGACAATGCTTTTCTTCACTATTCTTTGAAGGATTACTATCGAGCACAGCCCAAACGGCATACTTTGCCACGAGACCGAAACCGGGATTATGACCAGAAATACGGCCAAAAATATGACCAAAAGTATGATCAAAAGTATGACCAAAAGTATGACCAAAAGTATGAACGAGATTCCTATCGAGAATATGATGGCCACCTCCTCGGACGCACATCAGATCGGGGTCTCTCTGTCGATGCACAGGAAGCAAATGGATTGTTCAACAGAAAGAGCATGGATTTCTTAAGGACAATTAATAATGGTTCCATGGAAGGAAGAATTGTGAATGATAAGACAAACGAGATGGCAACTAGGAAGACAGAAATGAAAACAACCATTACAGATGAGATAAATATGGAAAGCAAAGAAAAGGAAGATAACAAAAAAAGGGAGGTCGAAATTGTAGGTATGCCAAAATATGAAGGAGTTATTCCATCAGATAACAATAGGTTACGTTATTGTAAGAATTTATGGTTTTATGAATATTTTTCAAAAGATATAAACATCCCAAATAATTCATATAGAAAAAGCCATGTAATAACATTTAAATATAGTTCCACAAATTTTATTAAATTGGACACCAATTTAACTGTACCCTTGTCTGCCTTACCTGCAGATGCAAGGAATATTCAAAGGGAAAATGTAACCGTTAGTTTGTATAATGGAAATATAAACAATTTGATTCACTGTATTTTGGGAGCTTCTTATTCAAAAGACATTCACTACGTGCACCTTATGAACATAGCTGCGTTTGTTCATGTGCAAAGTGTCTCCCCCATCGAAACGGAAAAATTCGATACAGTAGTAGGAAAAATGGAAAATGAAAAAAATGACGATTCTACCCCGTGTAATGGTAACAAACAGGATGATTATTTTATAGAAATTTTGTGTCCTCAATCTTTGACCACGAAAAACATCCCACCGTACTTTGTTATCCCTGGGAACATAAAGCAGATGAAGTTTTAGCAATCGTCCACTTAGGAGACGAAGTTTCAGTAATCCACTCCGCTTAACAGGTGGAGCTTTTTCCGGATTCACCAAGTGAATGGCCTCCTATGAGGAACAAACCGCTGCAATGGCAGATGCAGAGGAGAAGCCCGAAATGCTACTTCTCTTGTGTCACCTGTGTGCACGATTCTGGAATCATACTCTAGAAATGTGTCCATACGCCCATTTGAGTTTTCTTTTATTTATTTTTTTTTTTATTTTTATTTTATTTTTTTACCACAAGGAGAAAAACTTTGAAGCGGGGTGCCCTCCCCCCTCCCTCCCGTTTTGTGTATTCGTCTATCCGTTGATTTATTTCATTTTTGCTTCAACTTCGCATGGTTAAATAAAGCTCACTTGATAAGTTCCTTTTCGAAACTGTGAACCAACAGTAAATATTTTTATTTTTTCACAAAATGGATACAATATGAAGGTGGTTGATTTTGAAGAGAGTGTGAGAAGGCTGATTCTTCTCTGATATTACAAATTATATGCATAATATATGATCTGGTAAAATTTCTTACACTGGAAAAAAAGGAGGTTAATGGAATGATACGGTTACAAGTCTTTGCCAAAATTCACAACATGACTAATAAATATAAATCTCGTTTCTTTTAATTCTACACATATATGGTGTTTTATGTATATTTTTTTTTTTTTTCACGTCTACATGGTGTACGTTCACGAATAAGAATTCTGTTGAATGTTCATTTTGGAGACGAATATATAACAACATTTTTGTATCTGAAAATTGATTTTCCCGAGTTGCAAGTGAGACAAGTAATTTTGTGCTTAGAAAAGTTGGATGCATCTAGAATGGAGGACATGCTCTTGAATGATCCTTCTCTATGACATATATGAGATCCAGTTACTACACAAAAGGTGTGTGTTTCATCAAGTTGGTGTTTATTCCATTTTTTTTTTTTTTTTTTTTTTTTCCCCAATTACTTGAAAATGTTACAGTTCAAATGCCAAATTGTGGGAGGAAAAAAAAAAAAAAAAAAAAAAAAATGCGGAATAGAATGAGTGGGAAGGACTGTTTAAAATGTGTTTTTCTGCCCATTACAATAAACAATACATTTCTCCTTATTTATGTTAGAAAATTAAAATAAATGGGATAAGGACACAATTTAACTTTTTTTTTTTTTTTTTTTGTTCTCCCTTTTTCAAAAGAAAAGAGGAAAATAACAAAAAAAAAAAAAAAAAAATAAATAAATATTGCAATATATATAAAATTAAATAAAAATAAAGAAAATTCTTCAATTATGCAATTGGATCTGTGCGTGCAGTGGGCAAAAAGAATAAAAAACAGAATGGAATAGAATATATAAATAAATAAAGAACTCTCATCCCGCTCCGGTAAACATTCCTGTGAGTTGGGAGAATGGAAAAAAATATGCCTCATACCAAAACCCCTGAAAAAAAAATAGTAAAGTAAAGAGGGGGGTCTCCTAATTAGCAGTAGAGCATATTAAATTAAAACTGATAGCGGTGCAATGGAGTAGGTTTTTTTTTTTTTTTTTTTCTTCCCCATGTTTTGAATATTATATATTCCTATTTATATTTATACTAGGGCTTCATATGTATTTGTCGTGCTTTCCACCTCTCTTTGCTGTGACGCACTTAGGCGATTTCGAGTAGGACTAACAGTTTTTGTTTTATTTTTGTATGTAAATTGCTTCAGATATATTGTTATACCCATTTGGTGTCGAAAAAAAAAAAAAAAAAAAAAAAAAAACATTCACCATGTGCATGTTACATTGTTATATATACATTTTGCTGCTTTCATTTTTTCCCTCTCCTGCGTTGCCATTTCAAAAAGTATTTTTTGTTTTTTTTTTAGCACCTTCATATAATACATACGTAACACATATATAAAACATATATAACACATAATTAGGGTTTTGCCATTTTTCAAATGCTTTTTCTTTAATACTTTTTTTTGGTGTTTTTTTTTTTTTTTTTTAATTTTTGTTCATTTTAGTGCCTATTGATATTCACGTTGCATTCTTCACTCCTACAAATAAACGCGAAATCGGGACGTAAGAACTCCTCGGTGAGGTTACAAATTTGTAAAGCCGGAGCGTGAAAGGAAAGGAAGAGAAAGAAAAAAAAAAAAAAAAAAAAAACAACTTTTTAGCATAAATAATTATCATTACATATATAAACATATACACCTGACGAAGCGACAAGCGTTTTTTTTGCCTTTGAAAGAATTCAGCTGTGAATTTATCTACTCCACTTGCGAGATACATATATATATATTTTTGAAACATTTTTAAGATATCCCAACTTTTCCCTTTTCTTCAAAAAGAGAGAAAAAAAGTTGCCATCATTGACACTGTATTCGTGTACCGTAAATATAAACACTTGCGCGCACCTAACCCACGTTATAAGCAAGCAAAAATGGTAGTTAAGAAGGAATCCAAAGTTATAAAAAAACAGAAAAAGAAAAATGGAAAGAAGGGAAAAATAGTTGTAAAGAAACAGAAGGTTATGAAAAGTACCAAAGGAATAAAGTATATCTTGGATTGCACGAAGCCGGTAAAGGATACCATTCTTGACATAAGCGGATTGGTAAATTAGCAATGCAAAATAATTCACGAGGGAAATATAAACCAACAGCTGTTTTCATACCTATTATATACGTATACATGTGCATATATATTTGGCGAACTTATGGTTTGCTGTACCTATATTGCAGTACATGTGTTGATGGAGAATACATTTTATGTATTACTTTTTGTGTGTATTCCTGTGGGAAGAAAAATGTTGTCCCTTTTTTTTTTTTTTTTTTGGTACAAATGCTTGAATTTCATGGCAGAAAATGTTCTGTGTGACCTCCCTGGTTCTTCTACATTCTACATTTCTACATGTTGAATGCATTACGAAAGAACCACGTCAAACATACCACATGCTTGATTGTTATACTGTACAGAGATTATCCTATTTATATTTTCTCCTGTCATGTGATATGCCTTATAGTCTTTACACCCCTTTTTATTATATTATTTTATTTTTTTATTTTATTTTTTTATTTTATTTTTTTATTTTATTTTTCCTTACCTCATACTCGCGCAATACAGGAACAATTTTTCAAAGACAAAATAAAAGTGGATAAAAAAACCAACAATTTGAAGAACAAAATAGTGGTAACCTCGGATGACTGCAAAATATACATTACTGTGCATATCCCCTTCTCGAAGAGATACATAAAGGTAGGAAATAGTTGAGATGTATGTTCAAGTGGCACACATGTCTATGCACATTCATATCAAATCGCTTTCGTATGCACGTTCATATCAAATCGATTTCGCATGCACGTTCATATCAAATCGATTTCGCATGCACGTTCATATCAAATCGCTTTCGCATGCACATCCACAAATATCTATTTGTATCAAAAAATACATTGCTGTAAATATTCTACACACGTTGCAGTACCTGGCGAAGAAGTACCTGAAAATGCATCAAATTCGAGACTTCTTAAGAGTCATAGCTAAAGGAAAGTTAGCCTATGAGTTCAAATATTTTCAATTGAATAATTAAGAGTAGGAACAGAAGAAATGGGAAAAAAAAAAAAAAAAAAAAAAAAAAAAAAAAAAAAAATAGACGAATTAGTATAATATATATAGATTGCCGAACGATTACCAATTTACTCCCAATCCATTGAAACTATTTTTATTTTGTTCTACTTGAATTTCATACTATCAGAGTTTAATGGACATTTAAGGGGAGAAAAGGAGAGTGTTGGGAATGTGTTATATCTTATGTGTGTGCTTTTGACCCACTGCACTAGCTGTATTATGTTTTATTAGGCTATTTTCATTTTCAACTTTTTTTTTTTTTTTTTTTTTCTTTTTTTTATATTTTTATTACTTTCAAACAATTGTTCATATTTTTATAAAGGTTTACGTAAACTCCTCAAATTTTTACAAAAAATTTGTAAAACTTTACGCGTACTTTTATTGCACTACCCTTTTACACATAAATATGTAAATATAATATGGGCATATATTTTTGTATCCCCCCCCGTAAATACAAACATTTGACAAGGGGGGGAAAAATAAAAAATGATTAATCCTTTTTTTCGCCCATAGGCTCACGCCCCTTTATTAAGATCTTAAAAAGTATGTGGCTTGTGGATGTGAACAATCGGATAAGTATCCTGTATACTTCAAAACATTTATTTTAATTCCACATTTTTTTTTCTATCATCAAAAAAAAGGGAGGGGGGTAGTGTATATAACAATATTTTGAATGAGGGGAGTAATGTTTTAAGGGTAATCTATTTTCTTAACACGGTTATGGATTTATGTAAAAAGATTTCATCATTTTGATATGATTTCTTCCACAACCATATTTCGTTCTCATTATTGGGTGTCGCAGTGACGAATCAGATTGGTAACTTGTGAAAACGATCAATTTGTCAAATGTGCAAAATGAGGAAAAATGCTATACTCTAGTGTTAGTTTTTCTACATGCAAGCATTGCACCAGGTTGAAGTTTCTTCACTCCAAATTATTGATAGTGAAAAGGAGGAGGAAACAAAAAAAAAAAAAAAAAAAAAAAAAAAAAATTTCAACGAACGGGTATTTTCCTGTGCTGCATATGTGAATAAAATATACTTAAAGCAGAGAAAACAAGACACGAAGGAGGGGGGGGTGAGATGTACATACATGTATATATGCATAATTATATGTAATCATGTATTTAGTCATGTGCAAGTTTGTATGTATTGTGAATATGCTTATACTAACATAATATGACCCCCTCAGAAAATTCACAACACATGCCAATACGGCAAAAATGAAACATTTTTTTTCTTCTCCCTCATATAATTTTTTAAAATATTGCATTAAAATTATATCTGCTTATTATCCGTATCAACTTGTTATTTTCAAAATGGTATTAGAAAATAAAAAAAAAAAAAAAAAATAGTAATCGATTGGTTCCAATCTGTATTTATTCTCATTTTAAGTAGTTAAAAAAAAAAAAAAAAAAACAACCATAGGAAATAAATAAAATGCGCACAAAGTGTTACGGTAAATATTGGAAATAAAAAAAAAAAAAAAAACAAGTGCAAAACAGGGATGAAATAGATCGGAAAAAAAAAAATAGCAATAAAAAATAAAATATAAAAAGCATAACAAAATAAAACAAAATAAAGCAAAATGAAGCAAAATAAAACAAAATAAAACAAAATAAAACAAAATAAAGCAAAATAAAACAAAATAAAACAAAATAAAGCAAAATAAAGCAAAATAAAGCAAAATAAAACAAAAAAAAAAAAAAAAAACAAAATAAAATATAAAAAAACAAATTTTAAGTAGTTAAAAAAAAAAAAAAAAAAACAACCATAGGAAATAAATAAAATGCGCACAAAGTGTTACGGTAAATATTGGAAAAAAAAAAAAAAAAAAAAAAAAGAAAAAAAAAGAAAAAAAAAAAAAAAAAAAAAAAAAAAAAAAAAAAAAAAAAAAAAAAAAAAAAAAAAAAAAAAAAAAAAAAAAAAAAAAAAAAAAAAAAAAAAAAAAAAAAAAAAAAAAAAAAAAAAAAAAAAAAAAAAAAAAAGAAAAAACAAATGTATAAGCAAATGTATAAGCAAACGTATAAGTAAATAACATATAGAAGTATATAAATAAATAAGCATAATAAAAAATAACCCCATTTTAAAGAAGCTCATAAATATTAACAAAGTAAGAATTTTTTTTTTTTTTTTTTTTTTTTCTATGCCCCCTAAAAATATGCACAGTTGCACGTGCTGTAGCTTCTAATTTTTGTGTCAATTGAGCATGTCCCGGCGTTCATGCTTTCATAATTTTGAATACGTAGATTGTGTATAGCATCTGAGTATATGTGTATACTTACACGAACGTACGTGCATGTACGTGTGTGTATATATGCGTGTGTATACAAATGTACATGCATACGTACATATATACCCATCTGGAACTGTGTTTTTTGAGTTTGCACCATACTCCCTTTCCAATCATCACCTTCTATTCCTCGTGCAGACAAAAATTTAGAGATTAAGGAAGCAAACAAAATGAACGGAGCACCTGTTATAGTAGGTGGAATGCGCACTCCCGCAAGGTTAGCACTCTGACAGTAGTTTGACATAACCAATCATACATGTAAACATAGATAAGTAGTGTGTGGATTATGACATATACATAAGCATTCCCACACTCAAACGCACTAGTGCACGCACAATGTTATGAATGTTCCATAAATTGTGTGCTGAAATTAGAAAGAAAAAAAATAATATAATAAACAAATAGAGCGAATTCGATTTCACTGCCCATTCGATTTCACTTCCCATTCGATTTTACTTCCCATTCGATTTTACTTCCCATTCGAATTCACTTCCCATTCGAATTCACTTCCCATTCGAATTCACTTCCCATTCGAATTCACTTCCCATTCGAATTCACTTCCCATTTTAATTCACATTCTCGTCAACTTTTGACACGTGACAGACGAAGACAGAACACAGGATCAGCATCGAATAATACGAAACCAAGAGGAAGCAACAGTGGAAATACAAACAGCATCGTGAAATTTTATGGAGATGATTCTCCCGGATTTAAATTGTAATCAAATGAACATTTGCAGAAAAAACATGCTTGGTCTGTTGAGTTGGTGTTACATCGTCTCTGGGTCAGCCACGTCTTCTGCTGCTATACCACTCATACTATACCATCCAACCTGAGAAAGCATGTATATCTAACCATATGTTTGTTATTTCAGTGCACTATTTTTTTGTGTCTCTTTATACACTCATTTTCTACACATCAAACGAACATCCATACCATAAATATTATATGACTCTCGTTACAACTTTTTTACTGCAACCCCTTCGACAGAACCCCCCAAACCGTCCTTATATCCACGCTAATTTTCATGGCTACAGTAGTAATCTTACATATCATCAGCAAAATTTAAAATAATAATAATAATAATACGGGTATGTGTGTGCATATATGGACGTAGGAAAACAAGAATATATTTTGTTTTACATTGTATGAAGATATTTTAGGAATAACTCTCAGTGTACATATATAATGCTAATTTTGAAGGAAAAAAAAAAAAAAAAAAAAAAAAAAGAAAAGCACATTTTTTTTTTTTTTTTTTTTTTTTTTTTTTTATTTTTTTTTTTTTTTTTTTTACCAATTTTTTTTTTTAACCTTTTTTTAACCTTTTTTTTTTTTTTTTTCACAAAACTTGTGTTATATATGTACATATATAAATCCATATACTTTTATGGAGAATACACAATAAGCTTTTCTCTATATGCATGTATTTATTTTCTTTTTTTTTTTTTTTTTTTTTTTTTTTTTTTTTTTTTTTTTTTTTTTTTTTTGTTATATTAAACGAATTTAAGTAATAATAAAAAAAAATATGTATATAGATAATTTTTCCTAACAGTTTATAGTACTCAATCCTTTTAACGTATATGCATTTAAAACATTCAGTTGGGATTAAAAAAAGGAGGAGGATAGTTGGTAAAGAAAATTCAACTTTTGATAGGGCATGCAAAATGCTATAGACACTTTGACAATGTTACTATTCTCATACATTTTTAAAAACAGACAATTTTTTTTTTTTTTTTTTTTTTTTTTTATTCATGTAATGATCTGCTCATTTCTTCATTAAGCAATTTATTATCCTCTTTGACCTTTTTGGCTTTTTCTAGGTAAAGGGAAAAATAGGTATCTAGTCGAGGCATCTGTATAAAAAGAGTTGGAAGTTTATTGGGAGTTGTGTTGCAGCACAATAGCACTGTGTGCGCATGTATAAATAAGAATGTAATATATGGACTATAGTGCACGTTTTTTTGTATATACATATATATATATATATATATATATATATATATATATATATATATATATATATATATATATATATATATATGCATATATGCATATATGCATATATGCATATATGTAACACATGCAAGCGAGGGGGGAACCGTGTTGCAGTACCAATTTTTCGAAATTTAGGACCTCCTCTTTGTTCATCCAAGTCAACTTATGGTTTTGGCTACGGTCAAATTAAACAGTTAAAAAGGGGTGCGAGTATAAATAAGTTCACACACATGAATATCGACGTGAAAATATTGTGCCAAAAAGTCGAAGGGGCGTCTTCACTCCCTCTGCTTATTGAAACTATTGCACTTTTTTATAGCTGCTTTACATTGTACTGTGTTTCGTATTTTTTTTTTTTTTTTTTTTTTTTTTTCCCTTTTCTGCCCATTAATTTTTGTATTCCTACTTGTCAACAAAACAGAGAACTGGCTCATCCTTCCCATCTTCATCCCTTTTGCCGATAAAAATAAAACTCTTCTTACCCGAGGGGAACTAATAACGTGCAGGGGTGTGGGTGGGGGTTAGATATATGCCATTTTTTGTGTATCCATATATACATACATTCATGAATACATATATGTGTGGCTCGTTAATGTAGGATATATACATCCCCTCCACTTTTTTCAGGTCAGAAAAAGGAGAGAGTGCTATATTTTATATGTCTATGTGTGTAAATGAGGCTCACTCTGCCATATGCACATATATATGTATATACCTACACGTGGGCTTACCTTTAAGGTTCTTATTTTATTTTTCGGTGGCCAATACATAAACCTTTTATTAATTTGAAAAAGGTTCACCATATTGTTCGTTTCTGTCTCTGTAGATTTGCTGAAATATCTTCATGAACACTTCATAGTGGTTCCTAATGGGTGACGCAGCTGTGTGTTGATTTACGTTAAAGCAACTTTTTCCTATATCACGCAATGGGGGGTGGAGTGGAAATCTGAAAGCTACTTTAAAAAAAAAAAAAAAAAAAAAAAAAAAAAGCATCTATATATATATATAAATATATGTACACATGGGCATTCTCTGAACCTACATATGCATGTGCACATGCTCACCGTTTCCCAGTGAGCTATTTTCTACGTATCAAACCTTTTCAATTTCATTTTAATTGAGTAATTTTTTGACAAAATGAAAATTCCGATGTACTTGAGTCAACAGTAAAAATAAACTCTGCTCGATGTTTGCACTTCTTCACTTATTGCCCATGAGCATGAGCAAATGGTGTTACACTCATGTATAGGTTAAAAAGAGAAATCCACATTTCTTCTTTTTTTTCTGTATGCAACGGATCCCCGAATTGTGAAAATGATTGTTAACGTACGCAACCCGTTGTTTTCGCGCTGCCGATATGGAACTCAAGCGTGCATATATATGCGCACATATATCCATATTTACATGCATGTACATTCATATTATGCTATAGGCAATTTTTTTTTTTTTTTTTTTTTCTCCTTCTGGCTTTAAGCGGAAAAAAATATAGAACATAAACACAAAACACAATGTTTCTGAAGTTGAGCAAAGGCGGCCTCGCTGTAAAAATTGCTAAGGTTGTGAACAACGGGCCTGTGCATTTGGCGAGAAAACGGGAAATGAGAACGTTCGGTTTGAGAAGTAAATTCAGTAATGTGCACACACAAAATGGAGAAATGGCTAGCTGTGCAGAAAATAAAAATATGACTTGTTCAGGTGATTTGCTGGAAAAAATAGAGGAAATGCAATTGACGCAATCTGAGCAACAGCGGCAACATGAAGGGGGATTGGAAACTTTTTACATGAACGAGGAAAAGAACATTAAATGCTCAAGAGACGTGGAATATGAACACACACACACTTGGACATATAGATGTGAAGCACCAACACAGGATGATAATGACCTAGGGGAAAAGAGAAAAATTGCAGAAAAATATAAATTCATTTTTGAGAGACCGAAACACATTGCACACATCGATGATGAGCCAGTAGTAAGAAGACCAGGGTGTATAATTGACATAAAAACTTTACTAAGAAACAATTGGACATTTCCTGCTGTTGGGTTTAATAGCAAATTGGAAATACCTGTATACAAATTTGAATGCGAGCCAAATGATGAAAACATAAAATATGTACATGTTCCAAATGATATATTCGGACTACCAATCAGATCAGACATATTACACAAGTGTTACTATTTTTATAGAACTGCATTAGCAGGATATACTGAGCGAATGCAATTATATAAATGGGAATGGCCAGGGAGCACAAAAAAATATCGAAGCCAAAAAAAAAGTGGAAAAGCAAGAATGAATTGGAGAAAAACATGTGGTAGATATTTAGGAGTAAAAAATCATCCTTTAAGACCATTTGATCAGAGGACCAAAATAAATCGCAAGTTTTTGTGGAAAGGTATGAAAATTATTTTATCAGCAAAATATGCACAAGATCAAATAAAAGTTGTTGATAACTTTTTAATAAAATCACATAAAACAAAATATGCTGTTAAATATTTGAGAAATATTCTAGGATCCAATTGTAATAGTGCTTTACTTGTGCATGAAGGAAAAACTGATGTTAATGATAATTTTTTCTGGGCATGTGCAAATATAGCTAGTGTTAAGAGAGAAAATGTACAAGGGGTAAATATATATAACTTACTAAAATATAGATATGTTGTTTTTACTTTTAAAGCTTTGAAAAATTTAATTTACGAGTTGAAAACATATCCACATAAAATGAAATGGTTACCTACTTATGCAACCCCTGATAATTCAATAGCTCCAAAACCTGAAAAAGTTAAAAATTGGAATATTTCGTGGAATGAAAAAAAAAAAAGAAATAATTTTGCCTTCTTCGATAAACAAGCTTTAAAAAAAGATATAGAAGAATGGAAATGGAGCAGTGATTTAAAAGGTGCTCTTAAGGTTAAAAAGAACGATCCATACAGAAATTTCATTTTGACAAAATTTTCTTGTAAAGATCCACTCCCCGAATTTGCAAAATATGAATATCTTTTCAATGTAGAAGACTATAGAGACGACACGGATGAATTTGCTTCGGAAGACTCTTGGGACATCCTTGCAGAAATGCTTAATGATGATGAGTGCTTGCCAAACCGTGCGCACTTGTCTTCACTGGGTTCTGCAACCCCCGGTAAGACGTCCCTCTCATGTGTGTATGTCATTGTTTTTATTTGAGTTTGTGTCATTGTTTTTTTTCGAGTTTGTGTCATTGTTTTTTTTCGAGTTTGTGTCATTGTTTTTTTTCGAGTTTGTGTCATTGTTTTTTTTCGAGTTTGTGTCATTGTTTTTATTTGAGTTTGTGTATCAGAGGTGGGAGGCACCGCCTCTGGTTCATTCAAGAAGCGGTAAAATCCGCACCCATGCAACAGTCTCAAATGATAAAATTATAATTTGCATCTGCATATAGTAAACTTCTCTTACTTATTGTAAGTAACTTCCTGCACGATGCGTAAATTTTTCCAACTCTGCTCATTCCACTTGTGTGAGATTCACCTTCATGTGCAAAACCATCTGCATTCTGCATTTTTTTTTAATAAACGCTGCAGGAGAAGTGGCAAAAGAGGTTCCTAACAATGACACAGAAGAAGACGAGCATGATGAAAATGACAGTGATAATGATAGTGACAGGGAGGACAAGGATGATGACACTTAACCATACGAGAAAACTCCCCAAGATGTGTAGAATGGACACAATTTTACATAATGCAACAGATCTGAGAAAAAAAAAAAAAAATCATTCACTCGGTGCAGATGATTCTTCGTTCTAACCAGTTTCTAATTGTGGAAAGATGAAAACAAGTGAGAGAGACTGTCATCTGGTTTGTAGACATCTAAGAAAACTCCAACCTTTATTATATTCATGTTTCGAATTTGTAAAAATAAAAATTAAAGAATCGAAAATCGAAAATTACTTTAAATCAGTGCTTAGATGAAAATAAATTTCATCCCAATCACACACACACACACACTTCCCCTCATTTCACAATCATCCGCTAACTGCTGCATTGGCAGTAACAGTGACTAGAGCAACCATGATTGATTATATTACAACTTGATTAAAAAAGTAAAAACGAGGAATGTAAGGTGGGGGAAAAAATTAGTAACACATGTGAAAAAAAAATACCAACCCTGGGGATAGTTATGATATATTAGCTAGTCAGGTAAGGTATTCTACATTTTTGTTCTTCTCGATCCCTTCCCCCTCTCCCCCTCCGCGCTTCCTCCTTTTGTAAATTCCCCGAGATAATACATCATTTGGAATGCACCGAGACGTGGATAAATTATCTTGAACAAAATTAATATAATCATAAACATGAAGAAGACTTAACTTCATTTTGTCGATAGCTATTTGTCTTCTTTTTAATTGGACTTTTAAAACATTAATAATATTATTAACAGCTTGAAAATATCTTAAATTGGCTAAAATGTGAAATAAATTTATATGAACCTTTATCAAAGTTTTCACCTTAGTTTTGTCATCTTTTCTATTATTTACAATATCATCAAATAGATCAAAAAAGGAGTCTTTATACATTTTATAAAGTCTAATAAATTCATTTTTCAAGTTTTTCTTTATATCATATAATAATTCGTCACTTTCTAAATCTTCAACTCTTCTTTCAATTTCATAGATTAATCCAAATATATTGTAATTACTTTTTAGTGGTAAAGGTGGAGGCCTACCTAGTATCACTTGGCATTTTTTCGGTATGTATCTCATACATTCAACATTACTTTTCTTCTGCACATCCACATGCATATTTTCAGAAATGTCATAAATGTCGTATGTCCTACTAATTCGCTTCAGGAAATTCATCCCATCCACATCTTCCCTACGGTAATTTTCTTCTACCTCATTCTCTTTTGTTTGAAACCTTTTTAGAATACCCTCAACCTCCTCGTCAGCATCTACATATTCATCATAATAGTATGGGGGTGCGGGATAGCCCGACACGTATTTATCTCCCATTTGGTTTTGTAACAAAATTGGAGTGGTAATGGGGGGGGGGGGTTAGTTCGAAAAACGGATAAAGAAAATGAGAGGTAATGAAAAAATGGGGCAAAAAATTGACCTAAAAAAGTGACGTAAAAAAAAAAAAAAAAAAATAAAGTGAAAATTCCACTGGGGAAAATGGTTCATATGAAAAGCCAATAAAAAAAAGAAATTATTTTATTTTTTTTTTTTAGGTTTTTTTTTTTTTTTTTTCACGCGATTTGACAGGTGTGTAAATTTATATGTGGCCACCTAACATGTGCTGTGTTGTTGTAAAAAGTAGTGAATGATGAATGAGAATTGACAAAGAGTGAAAATCACTTTCACGTTTGAGAAATATTCGTGTATGCTTGTATGCCTTTATGTGATGTTTCTGGAAGATTGTCATTCACCATTCTTGTATATATTTTGCATCCGCAATATTTTAGTTGGACTTGCTTAGTCTCTCACTTTCACATTTGGGGAAAGTGCTGCAATGGAACCAGGAACCCCAAAAAAAAAAAAAAACAAAAAAAAAAAAAAAAAAAAAAAAAAAAAAAAACAAAAAAAAAAAAAAAAAAAAAAAAAAAAAAAAAAAAAAAAAAAAGGATATACATCATTTTTAAAAATGTTCACTTGTCGCTAATTCTGCGTTTTTCTATACTCCTCAAAATTCCTTCTTCTCATGAGATATGCAATATATTATTCCTGGATGAACTATGCAAACGTTAAAGATGTTATTCTCGATATGGAACTCTTCTCAAGAAAGAACAAACCTCGTGCACATACACAGTAAGTATATATACATATTGTTGCATACATATGTGACCTTTCAAAATACATGAATAACACTTTTTTAATTAATATAAAAACAGGATCAAATATCTCTCACAATTTCGCAAACTATCAAAGTGAATGGGACATGTTTTTACCACTTTAAAGATGGAGCCCCCCTACTCCCCCCCCCCCCCCACCCCACGTTGTTCTTTTCATCCACCTCTCCTCCCCCCCATGGTGTACCATCTTTTCCCTGCACGTTTTACAATCCAACCAGCTAGCCAAAACACACACGAGCAAATGTATATATGTACACATGTGTACGTGGCTAAATAGTGGTATCTCTTTTTTTTTTTTTTTTTTAATTTTTCAGAATTCGGCTCGTGAACCAATGAACATATGTGCACCCCCTAAAGATTCGCATCACAGAAAGCCGTAATTTATTTTTTTTATTTTTCCAAATCATCTATTGTATTAATTTACTGCTTTCCAGAGTTTTCAGAAAACCTAACCAGCTTTATCCTCATCTGGAGAGCTTAATAGTCTCCACCGTCACCACCCCAATCTCATGCTTCGCAAAAAAAAAAAAAGGGTGATAGATCTTTTTTGTTGCCCAACCTTTGGACGTTATTTCGTGATGATTTTGCCCTGCTTGCATATCTAACACGTTTGCTGTTTATCTATGAATAGAGTCTTTTCTTTTTTTTTTTTTTTTTTTTTCTTCTTTTCCAACTTTCCTGTTCATATGCCATCCTAGATAAGTGGAAATATTTTTCAACTTTATCATAAATGGAAGACAAAATGATAAAATCCAGTATTGTTGCAAGTCCAAGAGTTCGTCTTAACCAGCACGAAGAATACAATTTTCAGAAAGAAACAATAAAAATTCGAAAGTCTTTTTTAAATGCGTACACTTTTGAACTGTTTTATGCAAAAAATTTAAAATTAAAAAATGAATACTTGGATATAATAAAAAAAGAAAATAAGAAGAACATTATTTCTTTGGAAAAAATTTCAAAAAATGGATTACTTTACCACAAGAATATGTTAAAAAGACAGATTAGAAATATTAACAGAATGTTTGCAAATCGACATCACGTCAGTAAATTCCCTAGACAAAATGTAATTGAATTAAATAGACACATATGTTTTATGGAAAAAGAAATTATAAACAGATTTTTGTTTAATCTGCGTATTAATAATTCTAATTATTCATTTGATGAAGAAGAAAAATATCTCTATATTATATATTCCCGTTTTGTTCATATTGTGAATGCCACACTTGATAAGAAGTATCGTTTCTTTGTAAAACGAAAAAATATATATAGAAGCAACAACAAATCTTCCGTTCGATTCGACCCATACTACATTAAACAATTCTGTATATTTATTAGAAACCTTGTTAAAATTCGGAAGAAAAATTCTCATTTTTTATTTTTAAAAAAGTATATTCAAAAGTGCACAAATTATGATAAGACAGAAGCAGAAAGAGGAGAAAACTCATCACAAAAAAATTTTCGTTGTTACAATGTCCAAGTTAGAATTTTCAAAAGTGGCATTTCTTCTACCTCAATGAACAGATGCAGAGGAAAAAAAAACATTAGCGTGATAGTTACTCCATATGTGGAATCGCCTTCATATAACTTGTCCATGCATAGAGAAAACAGAAGCAGATGTAGAAGCATCGGTAGAAGCAGCGGTAGAAGCAAAAACGGTCAGATGAGTCGAATGAGAAGCAGGAAAAGAAGGAGAAATTATGAAACATTTAATGAGTGCACCAGTAGTAACAGCTGCATAAATGATCCCTTCAAAGTTAACATACAAAAGGTTAAAAACAATGTTGAACGATTCATTTGTAGCTACCTTTATGACAACATTTTAAACTCCATATTCTACTCTCTATTTAATAGGAGTATACAATTTGTGTGTGAATCCGTGTGTGAATCCATTGTTAAGATGTCTCATGATGTGGAAGGAGAAAAGAAAGGCATGAGAAAAAGAAGTAGAATAAGTGGAATGGATAAGGATGAAAAAAATTGCATGATATGTGAAAAAGGACAGTCTGAGACGAAACCCTATTGGGGTGAAAAAACATTTTCAATGAATGAACTCACGCAAATTCATCTTTTGAAATGTCTAAAAATATTTTTCAAACCTATTAATATGTACCAAAAAGAATTTAAAAAGTACACTCAACAGAAGGAATTGATTCTTTTTGAAAACATCTGCACTTTGCTAAAAGACAATGTAAGGACACTTCTCCAACTTACAGTAGTGAATATCACTAATTTGTGTAACCATTTGCCGCTCCAGTATTTCTTTAGCTTATTTCTGTTCTTTTTCATTTTTCTACGTATACCAGTTCAATTTTCATCTGAGCACGTACTACCCCATTGGGGTCTCCATTCCCCTCCAGAGGGGCAGCAGAACCGAACGGAGCAGAACCAAGCGGAGCAGAACCAAGCGGAGCAGAACCAAGCGGAGCAGAACCGAACGGAGCAGAACCAAGCGGGGCAGAACCGAATGGAGCAGAACCAAAGGGAGGAAAGCGATTTTTTTTACGATCCCCGTGTGAACATTTCAAAGCATAGCCATTACAACAACGTGGAGAATAACAAGCTCGATAGCATTAATAATCCAAATAATAACCCAAACTGTTATACTCAAGAAATGAAGGAAGAAAGTGCCTTCTCCACATGCCTCCTTTGCACATATCATGGATTAAAAAGAAATAAAAATATATCCATAATAGATAAAAAGAAATATCTAGCCATTATTATTTTGAAAATTTTGCAGAAGAACTACGAATTTGTAGAGAAAGAAAATTCCATTTTGGAACTCTATTTTAGGAGCTTCATGAAGAACCCGTTTTTTAATGATAAAAATAAGTTTCTATCAGTTTTATTTAACATTGAGAAAAAAAAAGATGACACTTTGCATGAGCACATTAGATTCTGTTGTCGAGATGGAAAAAACAAAATTCAGAAACGTCCAAAAGTTGGGGATGCCCAAGAGGAAAATACAGATAAAAGAATTAACACGTGTTTCAAGCCCCACGATATTCAGATAATCTTTAAGCGATGCATGAGTCGAATGAATAAGAAAGGATCCGTTTTGTGCCGACTCCAAGGGCTAATGGGTCCCGAAGAGGAAGAACTTTTAAATGGTGAAAGTGATAGTGCTCGAAGTGGTGATGGCAGAATAAGTGATAGTGGTGGAAGTGGCACCAAGGTGTTCTCCCTGAACCACAAGGTCAGGGAAAAAGCAGCTGTAGAAACAAAAACTGGAAAAACGAACAAATTCACGAATCATTCATCAGTTTGTGGTTTTTCCCTTGCAATGGGTTCACAAATTGGGAAAGGAAATTCTCCAAGAGAAGAGTACAAAAAGAAATTGGAAAGTGAGAGATACAATATTTCGTCTTCTATTAACGATAATCTGTGTAGTAATAATATTGTAAGAAATAGAACCCCCTTAGACACATATGATAATTTAGAGGATAAAAGAAAGGAAGAAAAACATCAAAGAGTGATCCAAAAGATATTTATCGATCGAACCAATTGCCTATATAACTACATGTATGAAAAAATAAAAACATTTATGGAAAATCTTAAATTATTTTTCCTTCCTCTGTTAAACGTTTTATACAGAAATAGCATATTTCATGTGAATATGTACATCTATATGTGTATGATTGAATCTAGCATTTTGCTATGTAAGAAGGAAGAAAATATATCCAAGTTACACAAAAGAAAGGAAATAAAACATACATTTAGACATATCTACAATATTGAATCTATCACGATGAAAAATCAAAACTACAAAATATTGAAACAGGAATGTTCTTTCATCCTTTTCGAAGAATATTTTGTATGCAAATTTTATCAATTGTTGCATCTGCTACATAGACAGTTTCACACACAAACAACTGAAAAAAAGAACATAAATATGATTATCCATTATGTGAAAAATAGAAGAAGAATTATAAATATATCCTTCATTCTGTTGATATACAGATTGGCGAATGTATTAAAAGTGCAGACGTGGGTAAATAAAGGTTCTCAAAATGTTTTTATAAATAAGGACAAAAATATAAACTTCAGAAAATTGAAGTACCTATTAATTTATACCATTAGCATGAGAATGGGAACTAATCTCTCCATGTACAACAGAAAGGTGCATAATAACCGCTCATGCGTAAATAATTATAACTCACGAATTTTCAAAAGTATAGGTAGTAGGAAAAATAGAAAGGTAAAGATAAGTAGAAATTGTTTAATAGATGATGTTCAACCATACATGCACATCTTACTTAAAAATGTGCGATGTGGAAATCATATTGTGCATGCATACTTGGAGGATGATGAGTTATTTTACATTCAAAGGAAAAAAGATTTTATTATTTTTAATTTAAAAAATAAGAAGGAGAAAGAGGAAACAGATCATATCGATGCTAAAAATGTGTATTATCAAATGAATGGTAAGAAATATTTCGTTTTTGAAAATTCCTATATGGTAAAAAGGGTATATAAAATAAAGTGTGTAAATGTGTGCTTACTCTTTTATAGGTATTGTTTTTTCTTTTACAAGAAGAGAAACCCACTTATATTTTACTTTCTTTTTAACAATCTCTTTTGTATTTGTGTTCGCTGTTTGAGGAAATACTTGGTTCTAGGTAAATCTTACCCGGATACGGGTCCCACCTGTTCATCTGCAAGTGCAGCAACTACTGCTGTCACTTCAGCTCCTGCCACTTCAGCTCCTGTCACTTCTCCCAGTTCCACGCCATTCAATAGCCCACCTGTGGAAGACTCCACACACGATTGCTTTTACAAGCAAATTGGAGTGCTCATAAAAAGCAGACAGAATATTTTCGTCCGTAACTTTTACTGTTTGACTCTTTTTCTTATTATGCGATACCACACGTTGATTGGAAATGTTCGACACTCCGGATTGCAGGTATGGAACCGATGTATAATAATAGAACCCTGAGCAAAGTTCCTCCTCTGTAATGAGAATCAGTGAACGCAATAATGTGTATGCCCTGATTGTTCACATTCCATTTGTGCATATTTCCCCCCTCCACATACGTACATCTTATGTCCAAAGCATGTACTTGTCTTTATTACTCATCCTTTTTATTCTTTCCTTTTTCACAAAACACCCTCACAAACACACACACACACACACACACCCCAGAGCTGCGTACCTAAGCGAATATTTACCCTGCTGCGTAAAACACTGGAAATAAAAAGGGAATGTTTCTCATCTCCACTTAATGCAGTTTTGTCAACATACTGTTCCTTCTTCTTAGACATTGATTTATTTTTCGGGAGTTCAGGCAACTTTTTTGAATTTCCATTACGTGATGGAGCATACGAAGTTAACCCTCCATTTGATATATCCCTAATAAACAAATTAATTATATATATTTTGTGCAATTTAAAAAAAGAGGTACATGAACTGACCTTTTTTTTGATCATACCCATAATTAAAGACAAAAATTATTTTTTCGAGTTATTATTTTCTTCCCCCTACTTGTCTACTTACTTTTTATTGGAGCAGAATTCTTACACCTTTTCGACGAGGCTATTTGAGAGCAGGTTTGTCAGCAAAAAAAAAAAAAAAAAAAAAAAAAAATGCACAGGAGAAAACTGTGCAAAATAAAGCGAATGTGCAAAGCACCTCTAGAAGATAACTACACAATATCCATATACCAAATTTTTGTGTAAAAACAAATACAAAACTACGTATAAAGTCTCCTTAAAAGTCATTCGCACATACACACACACAAGCAGACATAGACGTAGACACTTTTACGGTGACGCAATTTGATCGCCTTGCCGTTCAGGCTATCTGACCGAGCTAGCTAATTTTTGTGCACACTATTGGTTTTTTTTTTTTTTTTTTTTTTTTTTTTTTTTTTTGCCTCATTTTTCGTAGGGAAGAAGAGTACATTTCATCTTGCGATTGCCTCGTTTTCATTTTGCAAAATAAAAAAGCAAGATTACGAAAAGGAGTAATTAACAAGAAAGTTTCGTTGAAAATAAAGAAAAGGTGGGAAAATTTGAGTCACGTTAAACAAAAAAAAGGGGTATACTTTTCGGAAGCGTGAATACAATGGGTGCAAAAAGGAACATGTGTAAAGTGGGTAAAACAAGAGGTGGCGAGGGAGTGCATAAAGTTTAGGCAGTTGAGATGTAGAATAATGTTGCGTAGCTCTTCTTACTTGCGTATTTTGCTTTTTTATTTTTATGTATTATTATTTTTATGTATTATTATTTTTTTGTTTTATTATTTTTTTGCCTTATGCTTTTTTTGTTTTATTACCTTTTTGGTTTACTACTTTTCTGGTTTATTACTTTTCTGCTTTACTACTTTTCTGCTTTACTACTTTTCTGACTCCACCTCCCCTCCGTCTCTTGAAATAATGCGGTGGAACATGGAAATGGTATATATTACATGTATATGACACTTGCGTGTATTGTTCTTTGTCTTTTCACACAACATCATTTGATGTCAACTCTGTCTAGGCATTCCCAATAGCATATGCTGTTTCCACGGATCACGACAATACCAATATCAATTTGTTCTTCCTTCTTTATTTCTATTGTATTATCTAAGACTAAATTCATGAATGTGTCGTAGCCCCTCAGTACTCCGACTATTTGTCTGTTGCCATTTAGATACACTGCAAAGGGAAGGATAAGAGGGATTGGGGTAGTGTATAAGAATAATGCCAACTTGCACGTAACAAAAATAATATTCACATTGTGCAATGTGCTTATGGCTGTCTTAACGCTGTTTACCGTACAACATATTGTACTACTTTATGTGTTATGCGTTATGTGTTATGCGTTATGTGTTACGCATTATGTGCTACGCATTATGTGTTACGCATTATGTGTTACGCATTATGTGTTACGCATTATGTTTTTTTTTTTTTTTATTTTATTTTATTTTTTTTTTTTTTGTGCATGTTGCTTCATTGCCTATAAGACTTCATGAAAGCATACCTTGCAATCTTTTCTCCATAAATTTTCGAAAGTCCGATGCAGGACCAGCCTTTCCAACAGTAAGAGTCATGGTTCTGTTCTTTCTTCTTGTAAGTGAAATGTATGAACTGTTAATTTATATCCTCTTCTTATTTCGCTTCGTTTTGCTTTGCTTTGTTTCTTTTTTGTTTTTTCTTTTTTTTTTTTTCAAAAAAAAAGTTTTGCAGAATGGCCAGTTTCTGGTTTGGTTATATTTTTGTTCTGCTCTTAAAGTTAATGTTATGAATATATAATATCACCCAACCGAACTAAGTATGAGAAGATTGGGCTATTCCGGTATGACATTTGTGTATATGTACATAATCTAATATTTATACATTTGTGTGTTTTGTAGGACCGATCATATGTAATACTTAATTATTTCCCCATCACACTTTATATATAGGTTCTTTACGTATGGGTATACATAGTCGTTTCCTCTATATGTATCCCTTTCTTTTCCTTTTTTTTTTTTTTTTCTTATTTTGAATTGATAATGATGCGTAGTTCCAAAAAATAATGAAAATTACTTTTAATTTTTAATCTTTAATCTTTAATTTTCTGTATTGTTTTATTCATTTTTTTTTTTTTTTTTTTTTTTTTTTTTTTTTTCCTGGCGGTAGAAATGTAAATGCGTGGAGGGGGGGGAATTCCGTAATGTCGATATATTTATATAAAGAATTGTTCCTCTTATCAACGGAGCAACGAACATAATATAATATCTTCTTTTTCTTTTTCTTTCTCTTTTTTTTTTTTTTTTTTTTTTATCTTCTTTGAGATTTAGAGGCTAACAATCTCTTGGATGAATGTCCTACCCTCCTTAATATTTATTACGAACTATTTTTTCAAGTTGCACTATAGTAATAGCTCTTGAGTGTTTCTCTGTATTTTTCATGTTCTTTTTATGGCTGATAAAATATTATCTCTCCAAATAGTTGGCTCGAAAAAGAGATTTTATCTGTCAATATTATAAGTGTGAATAAAAGGAATTATAACAAAAAAAAAAATAAAAAAAAAAAAAGACCAGAAAAAAGGAACAGAAAAATGGGCCAGAAAAATGGAACAGAAAAAAGGAACGGAAAAATGGACCAGAAAAATGGACAAGAAAAAGGTATGAGAAAACCTCCCGTCCCGTCTTTGCATTTTTCGTTTTAAAAATTTTATAAAAAAAGACAAATGAACTGTTTTATTGACAGGATTAACAACTCACCTGTGGTTTTATTCTCATGGTATATGAAGAGGATACATTTTTCCTTTTTTTTTAAGCCTCAAAAAATGGACACAACGTGTAATGAAAAGGATAACATTTATTTGTTCTCCTAAATAAGAATCTTTGTTGTTGAATTTCACATGTTTTTTTTTTTTTTTTTTTTTTTTTTTTTTTTTTTTTTTTTTGCGTAAGCAGCATTTTCATCCCATATTGTTCACTGTCTCTGTTCACTATTCTCCTTTTTTTTCTTTCCACCCCCACACTAACACAACATATTTCGTAACCTCGATTTTGTGGTTTCTTCCCCAAGGAAAATGTTGATACTTGTTATGTGATGTACAAGAAGAATATCAATGGGTCGTAATGTAAAAGATAAAAAATAATAATATAAGGTTCACCCTTTTTTCCTCCTTAAGAGGTGGGAATACATGTAAATTCCATATCGCCAGTTTATTATATATGCCTACTTTTCCACACATTTTTTCATATAGTTTTTATTATATATTGTATACCGACGGAGATATGGGGGAAAGGTATGGTGAAATTGTTGAATCATAACCAATTTGGAAATGTAATAAACTTAGGAGTTTAATTCATAAATAATCAGCTAGTACATATTTGTGGGAATAGAAAAATTTTTTTTTTCTTTTTTTTTTTCTTCTTTTTTTTTCTTCTTTTTTTTTCTTCTTTTTTTTTCTTCTTTTTTTTTTTTTTTTGAATAGATTCTCATATTGAACAGCTTGAAGGAATTTGAAAAAATAAAATGTGCACACACAGTTTTTCTTACACATGAGTGGTGTGTGATCATTTGGGGACAATTTCTATACATACTATTACTCGCACAAGTAGTAGATAGCAAAAAAAAAGAGACAATATCATAGCGAAAGTGTTTCATGAATTTCTTCCACATGTACAAGACGTGTCACAAAACACAACATATTTTATTTCCAACATTTACCAGGGATTACACATATAATAGTAATGAACCTTATGAGAAAAAAAAAAATAAAATAATAAAAATAAATAGTTTAATGCAAAATTATAGATCATTTAGCAAGTCTTTATTTATTGCCATGTTTTCAATTTATGTAAGACTTTGTATGAATGTCAGTACATTTTCATTTTCTACTTTGCTCACACCTTTTTCTAACACGCGTTTATTTTATTATTTTATTTTATTATTTTATTATTTTATTTTATTATTTTATTATTTTATTATTTTATTTTATTATTTTATTTTATTATTTTTTTTTTTTTTCCTGTATTTTTCTTCCACCGTCTTTTATATGACCATTCAGGTGAAAAATACACACTTTTACATACAAGTCTAAAAAAAAAAAAAAAAAAAAAAAATTATTTCATTTTTCCAAAATTGCGCGAAAACTGAGTAATTGTCTCCTGGAAATCCTCTATCCATAGGGACAAAATTAGTTATAATATTCGCCTTCACATTGGCGAAACTTCAAAACCGCGACAAAAATAAAATAGGAAAAAAGAAATGCAACAACGTAGCTAGCTGAAATGACAAAAAAAAAATAAAAATAATAAAAGAAAGGAGTACATTAGCGCTGTAAGCTGAAAGAGACAAAAAAATAATAAAAGAAAGAAGTACATCAGCGTAGTAACCTGTAAAAAAGAAAAACCATGAGCTACCTGCTGGATGATAAGAAAATTCTCTTAAAAGAATTGCTCATTCAGAATGAAGACATAAAGGTGAGTGTAGAATGAACGAGAACGTGGAGTGGAAGCAGAGGGTCTGTGTGTGGGTGGTTGGGGGAGACCCCTACACTGGCATAAGTCTATACAATGGTGCAAGGTTTACAAAGAGAAAAAACAAAATGGATTTGCATTTTTGTTATTTTGAAAAGAAAGGCAATTTGGGGGAACTGAGTTCTATTTGTAGGAGTAACGTTTTATTTATTAGAGGAGGGGACATACGGTCTCTGGTGATACACACATTAATAAGGATCTTGCAAGCAAAACAGGAACATAATCTAACGTTTTCATAAACATCCAACAACCATGGGTGTTTCTCCTGTCCCTTCCGCTACCTTTGCTGCTTTTCCTCATCACTCTGATGACATGAATGCTTCTCGCACTACTCCCTCACAGCGTGAAAGTGAAAATATGCAACTGGAAAATAAAGCATTTTCAAAACTTATCGAAAATTATGAAGAGAATATAAAATTCGTAAAAATATTGCCATACATTCACTACGTATGTACGAGTCTGTACAATGTGGAGGAGAAAATATGTTTCAATTTGTCACGTCATGAATTCACAAGCACGATGAATCATCTCCTGGATGAATCTATAGGAAATTATAAACACATTTTCAAAAGTATATTAACAAAGTCAGGCGAAGATACCTGTTTAAATGAAGCAAACGATACATTTACAGAAATTTTACCTAGACAAACTTCCATTAGGAATGAGTTTACAAATGGAATATACGACATTAATATGGATGATATGATTACTTCTAAATGCAGAAACAACATAACTGAAACGTTATTGCACGATGAGGCTAAGGAGGAAAGTCTACCACATTGTGTAGAAGAAGATAATACTAACACCTCAGGTACAAACCAAAAGTAGGGAATAATGACAGAAGGAAATGTGTCATAGGAAGGTTGTATAAAAGGGAAATAAATAAAAAAAGGGGAAATATAATAATAATAATAAATGGAAAAAATAAAAAAAAAATAAAAAAATAAAAAAAATTAATAAAAATAAAAAACTATATAGTGCATATCGGTGTGGTAGAACAACTCAATAAAGGAATTTGGGCCATTCTCATTACTCCACAACCGTTAGGCATTCCATTCACTCAGACAACATATTTGGTACCAATTTCTTCACCTCCTCCACTTCTCAAAGTCAGTGCACCAACAGACAGAAAGGAACAAAGCCCTACATTACCATGCCTTATGAATGAACAAAACATTTGTCTTCTCTGGGAAAGAGAAAAAGCAAGCGGAGAATTTTATACGATTCAATCCGCTAAGCCACACGAGGATGCTCACAGTATATATATATATATATATATATTTTTTTTTTTTTTTTTTTTTTTTTTATGAGTCTGAGAAAGAGTAAAGAGAAATTTCACGCAGTTCGATTTGAGCTAGCCCAAAAAGGCGATTCATCCAAAATGGAACACCTTTAAAATGGAGCATCTCCAATATGGAGCACCTTCAAAATGGAGCATGTCAAAAAATAAAACCTTTTCCAAAATGACACTTCACTTGCTCTCCTTAGAGACCTGTCTGAACCTAACGGAAAAGCAACAACTAACGATGAACGAAATCGAAAAGATAAAAGGGAAAATAAAAAAAACAACCGTTCATTATGAAAATGCAAAAACGATAATAAGTTCTATCATTAGTCAATGCAAAATTTTACTGTTTGAGTTAGATGAAGAAACAAAAAACTACAAAGTTTTAAAAGAAACAATAAAAAATGATAACTACTTGATGAAAAGGAAAAACTACTTAATCGAATTTTATAATGACATAATCAAAAAATATAAAGACAAAATAAACCAAGCCAATAAAACAAATCATACGCTCCTAAATCTGTATAGGAAGAAACTTTCCACCATCAATTACATAATCACCATTAGTGAAAGCATTAACAACGTAGATTTTATGTATCTCCATGTCCTCATACACAATAAAAAGTTAAATTATGATGGCCTCATGAAGGAGCACGAAGTTAACTATGCTTGTCTAAGTAAGGACTCTGCAAAGTCTAGCTAAATCAGCGATAGTTACATCAGAGGCAGTAGCTGAAACACTCGTTAGTTTCTAACGTTGACAGTTATGTATAGTATATAGCATCTCCTATCCACTTCCCACACATCCACTTTCCCAATAAAGGAAAAATCCTAAACGAGATAAGAAACATGGACGATAAAATTACAGGGAACAAAAAGAAGGAAAAGGAAATGCATACCCTTATTGAAAAAAACAATTTCACATTGAATGAATTGGACAAAGTGATAATTGACCTCACAAACAAAATTGACACAAGCAAGAACATGTCGAATAAGTATTATTAAAAAATGATTAAAGAAATCCTTTTTTGTTCTGTTCTGTTTTGTTTTGTCACTACCTTCCCCACGTGAACCTAAATTATACGTTGTCAAATTTTTCTATCCTTTCCCCCATTTTCAGAATTAACCAGTATGAACACGTGGACATTCTGAGCAGCTGCTCAGTTTTGCAGTGCATTCAACTGAGCAAAGATATCGTAATAATTACATGTTTGAAAGGAAGCATGTGTATTTCTATGGGTTTTTCACCCGTTCATGTGGCAAGCGCTGTGGCACACCATTAATTAGTTTGTGCAGTAATGGCTAGATTGTGAAATAATTAGCCATTTAGTTGAAGGACCTATTAACTGAGTGATAATTTTTTTTTTTTTTTTTTTTTTTTTTTTCTAATTCCTTCCCCACTCATCTGCAGCACAATATTGAAAAAAAAATAAAGTCTTATGAAAGAAAAATTGATATCATCGAAAATGTAAAAGTTAAGGTGAAGAATAAAAAGAAGGTTCAAACAAGAAATTAAAATGGAAAAATTCGTTATCATAAAAATGTTTTTTTTTTTGTTTTTTTTTTTCCCCTTTTCTGCCCACTTCTCCTTCTCAGATAATTTCAAATTTCAACAGTTAGTGCATCATTTCTCTGCTTCTCAGTTATCTGCATAAGTGTGGAACAGAGGTGTGTTTGGTTATATCATTTTGTGTCTACACGAATTTGTATCATTAAGGAAAAACTCATAGATTTTGCATCCATGCAAGTTTTCACTCCAAATGCACATTATTCCTATTAGTAAAGATATTGAATAGGTATATAATACCCATATAAATTATCTCCATCACACACATCGCACACTCTAATCGTTGAGCTTAATGTTCATTAGTTTCCTCCTATTTCTTTTCTTTTTTTTTATAAAAAAAAAAAAAAAGAAAAAAAAACGTCATATTCTCTCATCTCCTACCGTCTCGTTGTCCACAATCTTGAGCTGCGGCAGCTTTTTCAAAATAACCAACTTCATATATTCCTGTATAGTTTTTTAAAAACAAAAAAAAAAAAAAAAAAAAAAAATTCATACAGTTAGAGCGCGGATATAATTCCATGGGATTGAAAAGAAAACAAAGCAAACGCGGGGAAAAAAAAAAGGAAGAAACATAGAAAAAAGGAAAAATGCTGAAAAAAAAAAAAAATTACGTTTGTCTTTCCTTCATATATGGGATTTCCCTTAAGTCCTAATTCTATCAGTTCTGGAAGGGAACTCTTCAAAAAAGAGAAAAATATATATATATATTTATGTGCTTGAATATGTATACATACAAGTTGTAAACACAGATGAGCATAAAAATAATAGGGGACACACGAGGGATAAGAGCAAAGAAACATGTATAATCTCACCAATTTGTCAATCTCCTCTAAGCTCTTTATTTTGTTATGAAATAAATAAAGGACTTGTAACTTCTTAAGAGATTGTAGATTATCGAGCTTATCAATGCTGTTGTAGGAAATCCACAACTGTTTCAATGTTCCACTTATGTCTTCCAGGTACTGAAATTTTTTTATGCAATTTCTCCCCAGGGAGAGGATCTCTATGCTTTCTGTGAGGTGGTGAAGTGGTGAAGTGGTGAAGTGGTGAAGTGGTGAAGAGGTGAGGTGGTGAAGTGGTGAGGTGGTGAAGTGGTGATGTGGTGATGTGGTGAGGTGGTGATGTGGTGAGGTGGCAACGGTGGTTCATCCCAATGGAAAAGCGTCCTTTTGATCACATGGCCAAATGATTGAATGACCATTTGGTTGTTCTTGTACTAAGCCCATAGACTCGTGCGATCAAGTTTTCATGTTCTTGTGAACACGTGGATATACGCAAGGATACTCAAGCCTGACATCGGAATGAGCTTCTCAATTCGGTTTGTTGACAAAGACAAGCGCTTGCACTTTTCAAGTGTATTTATGCTGTTGTCCAATTTCTCTATTAGTGGAATGTGACAAATGAAGCTCACTTCTTCTTCTTCACTAATTTTTTTTCCTGAAAAATAGGTTCAAGTGGAGAGAGGAGAAGAGGAAAAAAAAAAAAAAAAAAAAAAAAAAAAGTGATCAATATCAGTGAGTCTCCTCAATCGATTTGACGTTTTCACACTTTTAAAACCATGTAGACTATAAAAAGTGTGTCATTTTTTGTGATTGGTTAATTTTTTCCCTTTTTTTCTCTCTTTCTTTTTCCACTGGTTTCGGTCTTGCCATTTTTCTGCTCCCAGATTTTGATGCAATGAGAAAATGTTACTTCTTTGCTCATCGCTTTACTCATTTTGTGCTGGATATTTTGGACAAATTTTTTCTTATTTTTTTTAATTTTTTCTTATTTTTTCTCCCCCTTTTCTGCTTCTTGAAGAAACACAAAGGAGAGGTAAAAAGTGAGAAATTCTAAATGTCAATATCCGTGTGATTGAAAAATGGTAGACGGTGTTGACGTGGAATTACAGCATTCTTAAGATTTGCTGAAGAATTGTAAAAAATTTTGATTATTGTTTAAAGCAACATAAGCAAATCTTATTATCCTGCACATGTCAGAAAATCTCCAAACTTTAGTGCACACATACGTAGACCTTCTCACACTGTATTAGGACATGCATGGGAAATAATTTTTTTTTTTTTTTTTATTATTTTTCTCCTTCTCCTTCTCTTTTTTGTATGTCTATCATTTATGTAAAGATATTATATTCAGTACAATGGTGTACATTCCTTTTTTTTTTTTTTTTTTTTTTGATTCCACGAATCGAATTCCCTTTTTTTTTTTTCGGAACGTGGGAGAATGCTACACTAGGATAATGTTTCATGCTTTGCACACATTTTTATTTTAACTCTTTTTTTTTTTTTTTTTTTAAAAAAATGATAAATTATGAGAAAAGTATATGTAAGTTGTAGACATACATATGTATGTAAATTTATGTTCGACTACCTTGAATGGTCAGGGGGTGAAGGAGAGAAAAATAAAAAAAAAAAAAAAAATTACACAAAATTGCATAAAACAAAACAGAATTTTAAATAGAATTAGGTAAAACAGAATAAGGAAATTGGCCAAAAAATAACTTCAGCAAAATGTTGATAACCTGCACATATACAGATCTCGGGAATTACTAAACCTAAATTGTGTAACCGGGGGAAAAAAAAAAAGAAAAAAGAAAGAGAAAAAGAAAAAAGAAATAGAAAAAGAAATAGAAAATGAAATAGAAAATGAAATAGAAAATGAAATAGAAAATGAAATAGAAAATGAAAAAGAAAAAGAAATAGAAAATGAAAAAGAAAAAAATATGAACATAGCCCTCTTCCTAGCGTCGGCCCAAGTTACAAAATGGTGCAGTGCTTCTTGGGAGAAAAAAGTGTTACTACCCCGATACATTCCACTCTTCACCATCAAATGGGAATTTCGGCCATCATAGGAGAATTCTAGTTCGAAATTTCCTTTTGAGGTGAATTTCTTTTTTTAGATAAAAAAAAAAAGGAAGAAATCATTTTCCAGTTTTTTGTAATATGGAATGTTCGTTGTAAGCACACGTGAAAAGGATGTAAATATCACATACTCGATTTACATAATGCTCTCGAGATACATTCGGCTGCTAAGAATTCTATAAGACATATGGTAACAATCCAATGGGATTGTCCTTCAAAAACATGTGATTTTTTTTCCCTCTCTAATTAGATTAACAAAAAAAAATATGCATGTGATAGTCTGATCCGGCGTTAATATATACACATTTCGAGTTGTATCTATTTCTTAGCACATGTCCATTGATTTTTTACGTATAATCATTATTATTATAATTACTATTGTTTTTTTACTACTATTATTGCTACTATTATTATTACTTCTGTTTTGTTTTTGTTTGTTTATTTTTTTTTTTTTTTGTGCGATTTACTCATTTTGTTCCTGTTTTATTTTTTTTTTTTCCTACACGATCGTTTAAATTTTCGTTGTTAATTTATTTACTTCATTGGATTGCCTTTTCATAGTTTCGTTCTTTAATTGCAAATTTGGGTTTTTTTTTTTTTTTTTTTTCTTTTTTTTTTTTTGGTAATTTTAATTTCTTCCCCTATCGGCCAATTTAAAAGAGATTTACTCATTTTGCTGGTTTTGTGACTTTACAATTAAATACGTGTCGCTGAAACGAGAAAATACATGCATATGGGATAAGTAAGCACTGATAAGTAAACACTGATAAGTAAGCACTGATAAGTAAACATTGATAAGTAAGCACTGATAAGTAAGCACTGATAAGTAAACACTGGATAAGTATACACTGGATAAGTAAACACTGGATAAGTAAACACTGGATAAGTGATACATGGATACACAATTGTGTGTGCAAATATTTGGCAAGAACACAACAGTCGACTCAACTTCTCCTTCCACCCTACTACTCCCCAACCCCAATTACCACTTCCAAGGCTTTTAGGGGTTTCATATCTCCATGTGAATTACCTAAGACTAATATTGTTAGTAGCCCAAATATATATACTGTGATGTATTTTGCGTGGAAATAAAAAAAAAAAAATACGTGAAATTTTAACAACGATTTGTGCATAATGAAACAGTTTTTTCTTTTTTACTTCATTTTTTTAGGCAATTTTTTCCCCACTTTTTACGTCATTTTTTTAGGCAATTTTTTTCCCATTTTTTCCCCACTTTTTACGTCATTTTTTTTGGGCCATTTTTTCCCCACTTTTTCCCCACTTTTTACGTCATTTTTTTTGGGCCATTTTTTCCCCACTTTTTCCCCACTTTTTCCCACTTTTTCGTTCTTTAATGCGCTCACCGCTTGCAAAATATGTATGAAAATATTTTGTTCTTTTCATAACTTAATTTTGTTATATGCATGATTTTTTTCGCCGATTGGAAAAATAGAAAAGTGCCATTTTGATGCTCACGTACTTGTATCTTTTGTGTGTTTAGATAATTTCATCACATCCACATTTCTCCAAAGATATACATTTTATGGATGTATATGCACGTACGTATGTATGCATGTACATATGTATGTGTGCAGGTACGTATGTATGCATGAATGTATGCATGTACATATGTATGTGTGCAGGTACGTATGTATGCATGAATGTATGTATCCATGTATGCATGTATCCATGTATGCATGTATCCATGTATGCATGTATCCATGTATGCATGTATCCATGTATGTATAATAGCCGTTCCATGCACGTAAGTAACTCGAATTCGTATCATTATGTGCATAAAGTAATTACTTGCAGATAGATATATACTTGTATTTGTCAAAACCCCATAGGGTGCACTGATCCAGTGTTTCAGTAGAACGGAAAAACAAGCGTAAAGAAGAAAGAAAAAAAAAAAAAAAAAAAAAAAAAATTTATTTGCAGATTATGTTTACACATGTACATAAACCCAAATACATTTAACTCATTGATGATAGGTAGCATAATACAACATATACCACTCATGTTATCTAACCTTCCGACATTTCAAAAAAAAAAAAAAAAAAAATCAAGAGAGACTAATTTGTGCATGTAATAAATATACTTGTTTTGGAACCAAATAAATGGATTTGTAATCCCAAGTGTTTTTTTTTTTTTTTAAGTTAATGTGCAAAAACTATTAATATCAAATTAGGGCAGGCATGTTATTCACTACTTCATTTTGTTCTCTGCCGCATATCACCACACCATTTGACGTCAAGCGGTTACATGTCCAAGGATAGATGTCTTTTGTTATATTTCAAACGGGTAGATGTCTTTGGTTATATTTGAAGCGGATAGATATCTGCGGATAGCTGATCCCCTTTTGAATATACTCCAAAAGGTGGGTGATGCTAATATTTGAAGTTTTGAACTAGTGTGTTATGTGCATGAGAAACAAAAGTGTTCGCCACCGCACACGTTTCACATATTTTAGGAACATTCCACAAATGTCAGCACGTTTTCTAATCCATGTATACATATAAAAAACAGAAGATACATCAGAAAGGAGACAGATCAGAAGGAAAACCGATCTCATGCATGAATAAAGACATGCCGTATGTTGTTGAATGGGAATGCTAGAGGGAAAATTACAAAGCGGAAAAATTACAAAGCGGAAAAATTACCAAGAAGAGGAAAGTTGTTAACCCATTTCACTTCAGTCATATAAGACACATCCATTTTAAATAAGTATTGCTCAAAAAAAAAAAAAAAAAAAAAAAAAAAAACTGATTCTGATTCCAATTCTGATCCTGATTCGGATACACGAATCTATTAGCTTTCACATCATCAACACGCTTAATACGCCAAACGAAAAGGAATCTGATTATTGATGTACCAAAAGTAACATGGATATACATCTGCAGGAAAGTCAGACGGGAATTCGATTCAGTTGGAATTTGTGGCCCCCAACAAAAACGGAAGCAGCAAAAATTGAAGTGCCATTAGGATGTTTATACACAGTACTGAAACGCACAGATGACAATAGCGTTAAACTTGTAGAATACGAGCCACTAAAATGCAAAACAAGCAATTGCATCTTGAACCCATACTGCAATATAGACTTCAGAAACAAAACATGGACATGTCCATTTTCAAATATCAAGAACCCCTTTCCGTTGCATTATGCAGAACATATCTCAGAGAAGGTAACCGCAAAAGATGAATACGTTCTGTGTATCTGCATCTGTATCTGCATCTATATGTGGAGAGAGAGAGATAGGGAGAGAAAGATAGGGGAGGGGTGCACTACACCTCCAGTTAGATGTAACCAACTAGGTATTATCTCCATATGGTTGAAATCTAACTGACCTCCCATGTGTGTGTACATGTGTTACCTCATTCCCATCTACCCATGCACCTTTGCATGTTCTACTCGTTCAGATGCACGAACGCACATGCTTTCGCATCATTCTGCCACTGTTTCTGAGAACGTTTGAGAATATCTGAGAATTTTTGAGAATATCTGAGAACGTTTGAGAATATTTGAGAACTTTTGAGAATATCTGAGAACATATGAGATTTTCTCATGAGTTCTCATAAATTCGAAAAACTTCTAAAAATTCTAAAACCTCTGAAACATGTGAAACATCTGAAACCTCTAAAACTTCTAACAAATAACATGTTCTAATGATCGCAGAACCTGCCCGCTGATGTCATGTACTCAAACATAGAATACATCCAGCCTTCCAACGTGGGGGACATCCCACCTCCGACATTCCTATTTGTTATTGACACGTGTCTACTAGAAGAAGAATTGGATCAACTAAAGGATTCAATTCAGCAGTGCATAAGTTTAATGCCAGGAGATGCTCATATAGGAATAATAACATTTGGAAATATGTGTTATGTGCATGAAATTGGATTTCGAGATTGTCTAAAATCATATGTTTTTAAAGGGACGAAAGAAATTAATCCACAAGATTTACAGAAACAGTTAAATTTAGGAACCAGAAATGATCCTAGAAGTTCAACCACTTCTGCATGTGCAAGGAGATTTTTGCAACCAGTTAGCGAATGTGAATATAATATAAATATGCTATTGGAAGATATACAGAAAGATAGCTGGCCTACACCACCAGATCAAAGAGCAAAGAGATGTACTGGAGTTGCCCTATCTGTAGCAATTGGGTTATTAGAATGTTGTTGTAATCAGCTGAGTGGGAGAATAATGATGTTTATTGGTGGTGCAGACACAACTTCTCCAGGTAAAATTGTAGATACACCATTAAGTGAATCATTGAGACATCATTTAGATTTACAAAAAGAAAATACAAATGCTAGACATGTGAAGAAGGCTTTGAAATATTATACATCTCTAGCAAATCGAGCTGTAGCATCTGGGCATGCTATTGATATTTTTGCATGTTCTCTAGATCAAATTGGATTATATGAAATGAAAGTATGCTGTGAAAAAACAAATGGTTTTATGGTTATGGCAGATTCTTTTTCAATGAATGTTTTTAAAGATTCTTTTAAAAAAATATTTGAAACTGATTCAAATGGTTATATAAAACATGGTTACAATGCAAAGTTAACTATTATATGCTCCAAAGAATTTCGTGTATGTGGTGCTATAGGTGCTTGTTCAAGTAATAAAAAAACAGCAAACTATGTATCAGATACTTGTGTAGGTGAAGGTGGAACGTGTGAATGGACTATATGTGCATTGGATAGACAATCTACTATTGCCTTTTATTTTGAAATTGTTAATCAAAATATTGCTTCTCTTCCACCTGATAGACAAGCATACTTACAATTTCAAACATTATATCAACACCCGAGTGGTCGAAGAAGACTACGTGTTACTACCATATCTTATCGATTTGCAGAAGCAAATATTGCAGAAATATCACAAGGATTTGATCAAGAAACTGCTGCTGTTATTATGGCTAGATTTGCCGTTTTAAAAGCTGAAACAGATGAACCAATAGATGTGCTAAGATGGCTAGATAGAAAACTTATAAGATTAGTTAGCACATTTGCTGATTATCAAAAAGATGATGTTAATTCATTTCATTTGTCACCAGAATTTTCTATATATCCTCAATTTATGTATCATTTAAGGAGGTCCCATTTTTTACAAACCTTTAATGCAAGTCCCGATGAAACTGCATATTACAGGTCAATCTTACTAAGAGAAAATGTTATGAATTCACTCATCATGATTCAACCAGCCTTATTGCAATATTCATTTGAATCCCATACACCAATTCCAGTACTTCTAGATGCACAATCTTTAAAAGCTAATGTTATACTTTTGTTAGATTCCTATTTCCATATTGTTGTTTGGTATGGAGAAATGATCTATCAATGGAGAGAACAAGGGTTTCATGAAAAACCTGAATATGAACATTTTATACAATTACTTAATGCACCACATGAAGATGCAAAATCTATATTAGAAGATAGATTCCCCATTCCAAAATTTGTTTTATGTAATAGTGGAGGAAGCCAAAGTCGGTTTCTCCTAGCCAAGGTAAATCCATCAACTACACACAACTCGCTTAGTGGAAGTACTTTCGGCACGGCTAACAGTGAATCCTACATTATCAACACAGATGATGTTTCATTGAAGATATTCATGGATCACTTGGTGAAACTCGCTGTTCAGACATGAAAGTGAGCAGGAGGCATCAAATGGAGAAAGAGGCTTCAAATGGAGAAAGAAGCATCAAATGGAGAAAGAGGCTTCAAATGGAGAAAGAAGCATCAAATGGAGAAAGAGGCATCAAATGGAGAAAGAAGCATCAAATGGAGAAAGAAGCATCAAATGGAGAAAGAAGCATCAAATGGAGAAAGAAGCATCAAATGGAGGAAGAAGCATCAAATGGAGAAAGAAGCATCAAATGGAGAAAGAAGCATCAAATGGAGAAAGAAGCATCAAATGGAGGAAGAAGCATCAAATGGAGGAAGAAGCATCAAATGGCACCCATCGGATATCGTTCACAAGGTGTAAGGAGCCGCATGCATATTAAGTCTCCCTTGCAAGGGAAAAGGTACCTCATGTATATCCTCAAGCCACCAGCATGTTGCTCTGTCTCTATATATTAACCTTTCTTCACAACTTTCGTCTAGAAAATAAGCTCAGATGAAATCATCACCGAAAATCATGTTGATAAAACACCAACAACAACACCACCCCTTCGTTGAAGAGAAAAAAAAAAAAAAAAAAAAAAAAAAAAGTGAGTTATTTCTGAACGGAACAAATCAAAGTTGAAGAGAATCTCAATTTGCACTTGCATATATGTGTTTATATGCATACTCTCTGGTTTTTATTTCATGTTTTATTTTTATTTTTTTTTTTTTTTTTGCACAGTTGTTGAAATCGCTCGGGGAGCCGAGGAAAAAAAAAAAAAAAGAACATTTTCACGAAAGGGGGGGGGGTGTGTGGTGTTATGTTTATAAAACAACTTGAAGTGGGAGAAAAAAAAAAAAAAAAAATGCAACGTGAAGCGAAACTTTGTAAAATGAAAAAAATGGACGATCGTAACCGGGAAGAAAAAAATGCCAGATATCATATCTTTTTCCCCACCCCTCCCCCACGTGTATTATGTGTACACACATTCGTGTACATGCATATGTAATAACATTTGTGTTGTGAGTTCATGTCTAATTGTTGCACATGTTGCAAATTTTGAATTTTTTTTTTATTTTTTTTATTATTAAACGATAGAATTAAGTAACTTTTCGATTCACGTCAGTTTGCGGGTCTTTTAAAATTCTTCAAAAAAATGTAAAATTTGCTAACAGTGAAAAATGGAGTGCAGAAGTGGAGTAGCGAAATGAACTGGCGGAATGAACTAGCGAAATGGATTGGCCAAATGGAGTAACGACACGTGCGGTTAGTCTAACTTTGCAGTGGGAACGAGGAGCCCCGCTTGGCTCGGCATGTGAGTGACATCCCCCTCATAAGATGAGGAGGAAAGAGAAGAAGGAGTGCGAGGTGGGGAAGATGGTATATCCTTGCTAGCATGAGATTTGGGAGAAACAATTCCTTTTATGAAGATAGACCACTTGTCATGCTCAGTAAGAATTATGTGTATGAAGTATAAGGCAGAAATAAAAGCAAGGAGACAAGTGAAAATGATGTAAAAAATATTTTTTCTAGATGAATCATTCGATTTTGAACAGAAGAGATATCTAAAAGTAGCTGAGCGACAATCGAAAGTCATAGCAAGATATGTGTTGATAGCTATTTCTTTTCTTTTAATGGAAAGAGATTTGCTACAATTGAGAGTTACAAAATCTGCAGTAAGTACTATTAAGTTTGGATTTTGTTTACAATTATAATCAAAGGACTTTCTCCAATAATTTGATTCATATATATCTTTAAAATAACAAGGTGAATGATAAGGTGGACAAGCACAAGATTTTATTTTTTCACTATATTCCCTAGAATGTTCATACTGATGCATATCAGTTACTACACATTTGGTTAATACTTCGGAGTCTTCGTGTATTAAATTGTCATTCATAACATCATTATCTTTTTCATTTAATTCGTTCAACGTGTTTGCTTTTTCTATTTCTGTTAATGGAATTATAAATGGAGGAATAAGTTTTTTTTCCAAGTTGTAATTCTCATCTCCCCCCTCTTGCTGATGGTTATCAGAATCAGATTTGCAATATGGTATTATATCTGTGCAAAAATTCACATCAACTAATTTATTTTCATTATTTACAACAATGTTACATGACTTTCCTACATATTTAACATTTTTTATAAGATGTCTTTTTCTAATTCTAATAGCATTAGAATCATATATATCTTCTTTGCAGCTTTTTGTACATACACTCCATGTAGACCATTCGCTGAATTCACAAGGTACACGTTTCTCTTTACATAAGAGTAACCCTCTGTTTGTGGGGTCAAAATAGGTGCATTTTTCATGGAAATACTTAAACACATCATTATAAATTTTATTTCCAGATGAATTCATTTTGTAATATAATTTACACATTTCAAAATTGTAAAATTTGGAGTTTTCTCCATTACATAGTTCTCGAATTCGTTTGCACTTTTCTATGCATATATAATCCCCCTCTTTTTTTTCAAATCCTAGTTCATCTTTTTCATGCCCTCTTTTTCTACTCACACTATCACAGTTCAAATATTCGTAAAAGTCTCTATTATCCCATGCACTTAAACCATACCTGCAATAATTATACAACTTTGTTTGATTAATTTGTTTACTAAGACCTGTAAAATTGTTACATGTAATTATGGAATAATCTGGCATAACAATAAATATATCATTTTTATTTCTTCCATCATTTACATCACAAATTTCTTGTCTCATCAATTGTTTTATAAAATTAGAATTACTTATATCTCCAGTGTTACATGGTTCAGAATTTTCTTCACTACAATAACATGTCTTATGTTCAACGTCCACCCATCTTGACATTTCATCTTCTTTTGCATACAAATTTTCTCTTGCCTTGTCTAAGAAACATTTGAAATATTCATTTGTCTGTTTACCCCATTGTCCATCTACATTAGCAAGCTCTGGAACACCAATATTATGTTTCATTATTTTTTCATGCTCTTCATTCATTATTCTAATCCTTCTCTTTTTATTCCTAAGATGATGAATATCTACATTTTCAGGACTCATCCTTAGAGAAAAACACCTCTTCAAATTTTTCTGAATGAAAGTATCTTTAACTTCAAATATATTGGATCTACCATTCGACCTCACCTTCCAAATTTTATCAATGATGGAGTAAACTTCTGATCCATTATAATTTACACATTTTATTTTAATACTATTAGTACAAAGTACTGTGTCTTTTCCTTTATCAGTGAATAAATATAGATTTTCACTTTTGCTCAAATCGACACAAGCCCCTTTTGTTTCACTGGATTTCAGTATAGCAACCAGTAGGGGAAAACCAATTGCATTCAGAAGGATCGTTTTCTTATTCATTTTTTTTTTTTTTTTTTTTTCTTTCCCTACTCTGGCTTAGCGGTGCTTTGCCCTGTTCTACTTTTCTCTATTTTGCTACTCCTATACTTGGAGTGTAATAAAAGGGCATGATTCAGGTTAGACAAATTTACCCCTTGAAGATGCATTCGAAATGTCTTTTCGACACAATCGATGATCGCCGCAAAGTTGTCGCATGTTCCACCTGTACATGCAACATGAGATGTATGAGATGTACGAGATGTACGAGATGTACGAGATGTACGAGATGTACGAGATGCACGAGATGCACGAGCTGCACAGGTATACGTGTGGGAGTTACAGAATCGTTCTATATTCTTTTGTATTAAGCAATCAAACAAGCTAAGATGGAATTGGGATTTAGGTTCGAGGGGAAAGTGTTGTGATAGTGATATAGTGTGCAAAAAAATGAATCAAGCAGTGCCTTCACAAATATGCCTCACCTATGTTTTTGTGTACTTTTACGTTATTTTTTTTATTTTTTTTTTTTACAAACTTTTGTCGTAGATTTATTATGCATTAGGGAATGGAATGGGAATACATTTCTAGTGCAAATACATTTCTACAAGATTGTCTGATTTCAAGTGTTCATTACAGGTAAGGTCACGAATATAAGTATGTGTGTATGCATTTTTATTGTTTTTATTTTTCCCTAGGTTGGAGTTACACCTGAGGAGGTTGTTTCTTTTTCTTTTTTTTTTTTTGCCAAGTGCATAATTGTTTCATGTTGTTACGTTTGTTCATTCGTTTTGTTCATTCGCTTTGTTCATTCGTTTTGCTCATTCGTTTTGCTCATTGGTTTTTTTTTTTTTTTTTTCCTTTATACGCAAAAAAAAAAAAAAAAATTACACTATGTTCATGCAAGTACATATATGTACACATTTACACGTGTACCTTGTAAACATTAGGGATATGTATAAATTGGTTGCATTTTTATGTCTTCTTTCATTTATCATGGGTATTTCCTCTTAACAAGAATTGACATTTTCTTTTTTTTATTTTTGCAAACGATTGATGCATGCACACTACTGAGTAACTTGTCTTTCACACAATTACATCATTTCTTTTTTTACAACTGTAGAAAGTTTGAAAGTGTATTTCTTTACCCATGGGGTAAATACTTAACAAGTATTTAGAAAAAAGTATGCAACCAGATCGATAAAGAACAATTCAAATGTTTTCCATGACTGTGTAAATGCATACTAATTTTTTTTTTTTTTTTTTTTTTTTTTTTTTTTTTTTTTTCCCCCTCTACTTATGTAATACCATTTGAATACTTCTTATCATATCCACACCTGATCTTATTTGCAATTCCAATAAATTTCCACAATTTGCACTGAATGAAATAACTTCATATAGAATAAGAATTTCCATATGGAATTATATTGGTCCTCCTTTGAAGAAAATGGTTTCTTTATAAAAATAGACCATAAACATGGGTGGGCTTATACAAAATGGGAGGTTTTTCTTAAACGTTATTTTATACTGCTGGAAGCGCGCCTTTTAGTAAAGAAAAGGAAAAAAAGAGACAAAAGAGGAAAAAAAAAAGACAAAAATGAGAAACAAATGAGAAACAAAACAGACACAAATGCGGAACAAAACAGACACAAAACAAATTCTTCGTTTGACCATATGTAGCACCATTCGACATGCCAACTTTCCACCAAACATGGTCGTCTATTTGTAGGCTCATTGCCCTTACAAAAATTTGTACGCAAAAGTAGTGGGCCCAAATGCGAATCAAGCAGAAAAGAGTAAACACCCCGGTAGGAAGGAGAGCAGAATGAAGGAAAGATTTTTATGTTGATTGGATTTATTTTGCTGGTCTAGCTTCTTTCATGTTCCTTTACTTCTCATTCGTCAAATAGTTTCATTTATATGTGTAGGTACAAGTATATCTAATTTTAAAAAACACTCTTCCTTTTTTTTTTTTTTTTTTCTTTTTTCGAAAAGTACATTTTTTTCCAGTTGTTGGATTTTTCCTCATTATGATCATAAAACTGTTATAGAGCTAATTTCAACTGGCTCCGCTTTCAGTATTTTATTTTTTTTGCTCTTATGCAGGGGAAGAATTAATTGTCTTACACTCTCGCGGTTGAAGTTCATTTGTCTGTTCGTTATTCATTACTTTGTATGTATGTTCACCTTTATGTTCGTCTTTGTTTGCAGAGACCTACTGTTTGGTAGCAGAAACTTTTCGTCAAGTTTTTTCATTTCAAAAAGTTGCTACTTAACCCAGTGCAGAAAGTTTTGGGCGCACACATGGGATGTAGCGTTATTCATGTATATACATATATGCATCTTAGCGAGGCTTCATTTTGACAGCTACAAATTATGCATTCATATTAAAGAAGAGCAAGAGAGAGAGATAAAAAAAATATATATATATATATATATATCCAGATTTAGCAGAGAAATTAATTAGAGCCTCCATTAAAAAAAGTTGTAGGATATTTACTTCAAGTGACTAAAAAAAAGAAAAAAAAATTAAGGGGATTTTTTTTTCAGAGAAATAGAGTGCTATTAAAAAAAAAAAAAAAAAAAAATCGAGAAAATATTAATTGTTTAATGTGGTTAAAAAGAAAAAAAAAATAGTCTAGCAACAGGGATCCTGCAAAAGAAGAAAAAAAAAAAAAAAAAAAAACATAAATCAATGGGGTTACATTCACCAGTATGCATATATATATGCCATACAGTACATATATATATTCACATTTTCTTTTTGCGTGTTTGATTTCCCTCCAGAGATATATCAAATAAAAGAAATTTCTTTTCCATGATGCTTATGCAAAATAGATCATTCATATCCAACACAAAAGAGAATATTATCAAGACTTTTTTTTTTTTTTTTTTTTTTTTTTTTTTTGTAAAGAACGAACCTACTCAAGGGGGCTGGGTGGGCAAATAAAAAAAAGTGAAACTACACTAGGAATGATAGAATCTCCCTGAGATATGTAAACCACATTTGAGATTTTTTTTTTTTTTTTTGTATGGACACTTATTATCTCAACTGATGGAAATTGTTCAGGAAAATCAAATTAACATTTCCCCGGATGAAAATGAAGCAGTTGCAGGAGTAGAAGGACGAGTAGTTCCAACCGGAGGAGCTGCAGGAGCAGAAGGACGAATTGTTGCAAACGCAACAGGACATGGGGTGGAAAGAAAAACAGGTTTGTATTTTCCAAATATGTTAATAAATAGTCATAAGGGAGAAGTATACTCTGTTAATTTTTCATCGGATGGTAAATTCATTGCATCTGCCAGCTTCGATATGACTTTAATGATACACAGTGTTTATAACGAATGTGAAACAGTTAGTATTTTGAGAGGGCATAAAAATGCAGTGTTAGAAGCTAAGTGGAGTAAAGACGATAGTCATATTTGTAGTGCATCAGCAGATTTTAATGTTTTTTTATGGGATGTGGAGAATGAAAAAAAAATTCGAAATTTTAAAGGACATACAAGCATTGTTAACGGTTTAGATATAATCAATTATAATTTGATAAGCACTTGTAGTGATGATTGTACCGTAAAACTGTGGGATTTTAGATGTAAAAAATCGATTCATACAATTACGTATGATTTTCCACTACTTGCTATATGTTCAGATAAAAAAGGGGAATTTTTTTATGTGTCATCAGTCGATGATAAAGTAAATAGATACCATGTCAAAACTTATCAATTAAAAGATACTTTTACTGGTCATAAGCATTATATAAGTGGCCTAGCTGTTAATAATGATGAAACTATATTAGCATCCCTAAGCGCAGATGAAACCATTTGTTTTTGGGATATTCAACCATTTCCTTGTGATGAAAAATTATTATTTCATCTTCCAGCACCACCATTTAACATAGACTATAATTTGATTAAACTGTCTTTCAATCATGATAATTTATTAGGTTGTGGAAGTGGCGATAATTATTTATACATTTATGATTACAAACAAAAAATGTTGAAATATACCATGCCCGGTCATACCAGTACAATAAACGATGTTGCATTTCATCCCTCTGAGGATATAGTAGCTTCTTGCTCTTCAGACAGTACCATTTTTCTTGGTGAATTGTGAAAAGGAAAATGCCATTGAGCATGCTTCCCCCACGCCGTGCATACACACAAGTACATGTGTAGACATATCAGCATGGAAATATATCAGCATGGGAATATATCAACATGGGAATGTATCAACATGGAAATATATCAACATGGGAATGTATCAGCATGGAAATATATCAACATGGGAATATATCAACATGGGAATATATCAGCATGGGAATATATCAGCATGGGAATATATCAGCATGGGAATATATCAGCATGGGAATATATCAGCATGGGAATATATCAGCATGGGAATATATCAGCATGGGAATATATGAGTAGGTGTGTACGTATCGGCACACGTACACACTGATGAACATCTTTTTCTTTCCCTCGGAGCTGTAATTCGTTTTCCACTTTTCCTTCTCTTAGTGTTTCATTGACTATACTTTCCATTCACAGTAACTTTTTAGTTTCAAAAATTTTCAGTATCTTTTTTTTTTTTTTTTTTGAGTCAACTGCTTGTGTAGTTTTTTCTTTACTAACAGGTAGTATATATTATATGCATAAAATGTCTTGTTTTATAACTTTTATGGAAGAGACTACATTAAAAAGTTTTTCCCGTCAAATGAGTAGAACTTTTTTTTTTTTTTTTTTTTTTTTTAAATATGTAAAAATTGTTCATAATTGTGCTCAAATTGTTCATAATTGTGCTCAAATTGTTCATAATTGTGCACAAATTGTTCATAATTTTTTTTTTTTTTTTTTTTTTAATTTTTAAAAAAGGGCAAACCACATAAACGAATCTAACATATGTAGATAAATAATATATTAAACTTGTTCAATAAGCATACATTTTTTTTTACCTTGAGTTGAAAGGTAAGGAAAAGAATAATAAAACAAATGCACAGTGAGGTGCGCTGATGTGAATTTGACATTTTCAGCAGTGTCCTAGCTTTTCCATCGAATAGAGCAGAAAAGCAAAATGAAGCGAGGTAATCCAGGGTGATGGGAAGTAATCCAAGGTGATTGGAGATAATCCAAGGTGATTGGAGATAATCCAGGGTGATGGGAAGTAATCCAAGGTGATTGGAGATAATCCAAGGTGATGGGAAGTAATCCAAGGTGATTGGAGATAATCCAAGGTGATGTAAAATAAAGTGCATACATGTAGAAGATGCTTAAACATGGGAACAATCTCCATGGAGAGGACGACGCAAGGGTCCTTATAATGTGTGTGCAAAATGTGGAGAGATAATCATTACAGTAGACCTCTCCCCCGCCCCCCGAGCCCATCACTTGATGATAATCTCGACTATATTTTCTTCGTCCCCATAAAAGACGTTATAGTTTCGTATTCCTAATAAGCTGTTCATAAATTCATTAAACTGAGCACAGAGACGCATAATGATTTTGCAAGGAGCACGTTTTTCTGTCACCAAGAAATGGGATAATTGCACTAAACCATTTTTGATATTTTCATATGAAAAGTCATCTGTGTATTCAATTTCATAGAATAATTTGTCTTTGGCATTAAAGTATAAATTTCCCTTAACATGTACATATGCATTGTCGTTTAAATCGAAAAAAATATTTTTCTCTTGATCATAAATAATGTCACTTTCGATTCCTCCACTGTCTGGCAGGATACCTTTCAAGTGCTTCAATCTGTTGTTTTCTTTATTTTTAAAACATGAAATGTCTATTTCTTCTTCCTCATTATCATCATCATTGCATTCATTTTGACTCTGTGAGCAGCTGTTATCTGAACTTTTCATTTTTTCGGAACTGGTATTGCTACTTTCTCTTTGCACAGTTGATGAAGAACCAGATGTCTTAAATAACGATGGTTGGTACATATCAGCTATGTTAAACGAATTGGTATGTTCTAATGAATTAACTTCTATATTTCCATAATCGAAAAGGGAAGATTTTTTCGATAGCTCATTGGATCCCATATATCTATTATTGTTATAATCAATTGTGCATGCATTGAAATAATTGTTCAGAAATTCTTTATTCACCTCAATTTTTTTTTTCACGGACTGAACCTTTTTTTTGTAACATGCGTTTAAGAAGTTAACATATTTCTTATGATTAAATGCTATGTATTTTTTACGATTATTTAAAATTAATTTGTTCTTATTCTTTACGTATACATTTTTTAAATTTCGGACATTGTTTGCTGCTAATCGTATTAAACCGTTGTTCATTAATTCTGTATTACAATTTGAATTCTCAATGTAATATACCCCTTGTTCACGTATCGATTTCTTTATATCTTCTATATATTTACGTATATAATTTCTGTAAGCTTCTCCCAATATATCATAATTCTCATCGAAACATTGTGCATTCATTACACCTTCTTCTTTTAAATTCTGCTTCAGCTGCTCTAAGCTTATCTGTTTTGTTACGTTTTTGATATTAATGCGCTTCGCCACGTTTTCCAAGTTTATATGCTTCTTCACATTTTCCAAGTTGATATGCTTCTTCATATTTTCCAACGTTACATGTTTCTTCATATTTTCCAATGTCACATGTTTCTTCATATTTTCCAATGTCATCTGCTTCTTCAAATTTTCCAACGTCACCTGCTTCTTCAAATTTTCCAATGTCACCTGCTTCTTCAAATTTTCCAATGTCACCTGCTTCTGTACACTCGCTACTTTCCCCATACAGGAACTATCCTGCACAAAATGTCTAGCATTCTGAACACAGTCATAATTTTCGATATACCCATTCACATTTGTACAATCGTAATTCTTAATCGATTCTAAGGCTTTGGAATAATTAAATTTATTATAATAACCCAAGTGTGTTGGGATGAACTTTTTCATTTCTGTCAAAGGTTG